AAATAAAAATTTTCATGTGGGTGGCTTGTTAAATCAGTATGCGGCGGCCAGCGTGTCCAAGACAAGGACTTGCTTTCTCATGTTTGCTTTTAGGGGTGTGATATTGTGGAGCAGTTCAGAACACAAGGATTGAAATGTTAAAAAGAGTGGCAAAATATGAAAGAAAGCTTGGAATCTCATATGCCAGATACTGCTTCACTGTAAAGTCTTGGAAAAGCCAGCACTATTGAAAAGCTGAGTAGCGCAAGTCAGCCCGAAATTCATTAGTACAAACAAGGTATTAATAAAAATTGTGTACACTGTCAAGTCTTTCTCTGTTGCTGAGACTGTGATTTGTGTAACGTACGTACCCAAGGGTGTGACACATAATCCAAGTCTCTGAAGCCAGGAACTTCTAGGTCAGTACTGGAAATCTGGTGTAAGAATGATCCTGTACTACATCACTGTAGCTTTTGTTTGGATTGGGGTTTTTTTCAGGAGAAAATGTAACTAATCTTCAATGAAGTGATGAAACTCCTCCAGGTTGGCCATAATGCTCTTGAAAGTAATAAAATCAGAAAGTTTCATCAGCGAAATGTGAGAATCTGCTTGAGCAACACAGATGCACTGAATCCTTTACCACTGCTGCTGGTAGGAAGTGAGCCTGTGAAATCCATCTGCACCTTCTGCACCCCAGGCACTGGGGACTTTTGCAGGGCTGAAGAGTAAGGTGGGCACTCTGTGTATGAGTCTCTGTCTGGGAAGAGAAAAGTTTGTGTAATCCATTATTCGCAATGTGCCCAGTAACAAAGCTGCTGCTTGTTTTCCGACAAAAAAATATTAAATCTTGTATTATTGGCTTACTGTTCCCAGTGTGTTTTCTAATGCACAGTCATATGTCTGAGTTAGTACTGCAGAAATTTCTGTTGATGCCCACTAGCCGGAAAGTGTTATTATTGCCACCAGCTTGTAGTTACCATCTGAATTCTTGCTTAGGTGGGCAAAAGGCCTCTCTTGTGGGCAGGCTTCCTAAAATTTAGATTTGCAAATTTTACCTTTTTGCCCAAAGAATGAGGGGAAGCTCATCTTTGTAATTTTGTATTAGTATTGGGGATTTAGAAAATGTTATTAAAAAGAGCTGTGTGCTACATGTGTCCAGTCTCACATTGTGTATTTTTTTTTCCCTTAGGAAGTATTGTTAGAACCAGCCTGAGAGCAATGCCTGTCCATTGAAACACTCCTCCCTAAGAAACAAAAAACTGTTTGAAAGATGGACTATTAAGTCTTCATGTAGTAAGACAAAGAGCATTTAACTGTATTGTGGCAGTGTCTGGTAATGTTTGCATAGACAAAAAATTGAAGATTTATGTTTCTGTTCTCAGAATTTCTGTCTTTCCCAAGCCTTAGTAACAGTTGCTTCTGTTAGAGAGTTTGGACTTCCTTTGTGTTATTGTTGGGATACCAGTGCACCCCTTTGGATGAAACAAAGCCCAGGAGTGAGTTGGGATGCGATGACTTAAGCCATGGTCTCCTGTAGTATTTGAAGATAGGGTTGGCTGAGATTTATATTGCGGTGAGCAAAAGTAGAAATTTTAAAAGTAGAAATTCAGCAAACCTGGCTTCAAAATGAGTAGGAAAGGTGTTTATCCAACATGGAGAATGGCAAGCTTGGTTTATTATCACCTTGACCAGCTACATCATGTGGTACTTCAGCATAACTTAGAGTGAAATACTCTTGAGATAATTGGGATTGCTGCTTATTTTTCTAGGAAGACTTAACATAGTTTATCAGAAGAACAAATGTTTAAATTGTGTATCTTGCAATGTGTGATTTTTCAGTACTGAATGTTACTAATTCTAAGTGTAAGGTTGTTTTTAGTTTGTCAAGAGAGAAGGGGGTTTAGACAAGAGTAATTAATTTTTAGAGGTCCAGCTTGTAATTATGGGATGTACTTGAAAGTTTAGGGTTTTTACTAGGGATTACATTCCCTGAAGATACCATCTGTTCGGGAGTTCTGCTTATGGGCCTTTGTTCTTGAACTGTAAGACCAACAGGAGTAGCTTTTTAAAACATTAAAAAAAAAAATCTCAAGAGCAACAGCTAGTGACTGATTTGATAATTGGTATCTAACCCCATTGTTAGATACTTGCTTGGTATCAACCCCAGGGTAAACTTCCTTTCAACTAAAAAAGATGTAGAACCCCAAGCTTTAATGTGTAATACAGGAGTAGAACAAGGGAAAAGCGAGGTACAGGGAGCAATAGGTGTGTGCAAGGGTCACAGATTACTTATATAATAATGCGGGTAAATGTGAAGTACGATGTTAAACATTAGGACTGCTAATTATTTTGTATGACTGGCTAACTGGATTGCAGCCTTGAAAAAACATCAGACTATAAGAATCTGCTCAGCAATAAAAACTGAAGAGAAAGGATGAGGTATTAATATTCTGGAACAACCTGCTACATGTACTGAAGCCCTACTTTGCAGGAACTGGGTGGACACCATGTGCTCCTGGAAAGTAGAAAAAGTAAATCTTCGGGAGTTTGAGGTTTTTTTGCTTTTGCTTCTGCTTTGTTAAACTCCTTTATCTTGACCCACAAGGATTTTTTCCATCTAATTCCCTTGCCCATCCTGTTAAGGAGGGGAGTGGTAGAGCAGCTTGGTGGGCACCTGGTGTCCAGCCAAGGTCAACATACCACAGCTCTTACTCAGGAGAACAAATACAGGAATAAAAACAGAGACATTAAGGAGAGAATGTTTGCCACACTGGCTCTGTATCTGTGTGTTTGCTTTGACAGCTAACATAGTCTGCTGTTGCTCTCTGGTGATTTTTAGGTGAGAAAGGAAGCTGGTATAGATGTGCACTGGAAATGCAAACCTTACATTGACAACTTCCAGCTACAAGATAAAATACTTAATCTGGAGAAGCTGTATCCTCAAGTGGATTTTAATTGGTACTACACCTGTTTTTACCAGATGGTGGTGTCAAATGAATCTGTGTTTCTGAAGGCTTTGCTCCTTAGTGTAATGTAAATAAGACACACAGGCAACCATGCAATGCCCTAAAAATTCAAGTTTTACTTGACTTTTAAATAACCTGGACACAAGTATTGACACAGCCATCTATCAAACTCATTTTGAAATAAAGCACACAGTTGCTTCATGAATACCTACTGTACATGGAACAAATATATCACATTGGTATGTTCATGTATGTTGTCTTCAAACACCTTTCTAGGGAGTTCTGAATTAAACAAATCTTCCCAAAAGAAAACATGCTATCTCTTCAGCTCAATATCCACCTGTATAAAAGGAATTAATTTGGCAACTTAAATGGTAATGACTTTGCAACAAACATCAACAATATAATGAACTTGATTAGAATACAAGTTGCAGAGTTAGTGATACTGGTAAGAGGTGCAGTGTAGAAAAACAGCAGGTCCAGGCTAGTTCCAAATGAAAGAAACCAGCCTGCTAAGCGAGGGAACCAGTACAGGATATACAACAGTGCTTTTGTGCTGTGATTAGCAAGCCCTCTTTATTGTATAAAATACATGTTTTGCAAAAACATTTGTACAAATATGTTGTAATTGTTGCTAATTAGTGAGAGTTCTATAACTTACCAATGCTTAGCACTTACGGAAGTCTCAGAAGAGATAAAGGCAGAGGCAAATTTAAATCGTTGGCCTGAGATCAATTCAGGAGAACTAGGATGAGAATGCCTCAAATAACAATCCTTTGTCCAAGTGAGCAGGGGTCTGTATATGGCACTCAACCCCAGGGTAAACTTCCTGACGCTGTTATGTATCTCATGTCTTTTGCCTGATTGATCAGGATGTGCAAGTATTTTACACTGACATCCAGACTCCAAATCTGCAAATGTTACTGCCTCTAGGCAGTGAACGCCCCAGGAGAGCTGGGGAAGGATAGCAACAGTGGAGAGGGCAAGGTGTAGCTCAGATCTGTAAGAGGCTGTTCACTTAGACATGTAGAACTGGTTTAGGTGTGGAAGGCATAGCTGTGACACAGTAAATGTTTTCAGTGATTGATTACTTGTGTGTATATCTCACAAAAATACCATTTAAAAGGTGCTTTTCCTCAAATGATTGAGGAAAAGCTTGAAGGGAAAAGAGGATCACATACATGAAAGAAATTTGCTTTTCTGTACTATTAGGTGACAGTGATGTCCTTATTGCAAGTTTTGCCTTGTTTTGGCACAACAAAACATTTGGAAAACACGTAATAGGAGGCATTATATCTTTAGTCTTTTGTGGGCACAAAACTGGATTGTAGCGGCCCAGGCTAACATCAGACTTGCTAAAAACCTGCTTCCTACATAGTCTCATCAGGGAGAAGATCACTAACTCAGTTCTGGGGCTCTCTCCTTAACCTTCTCATCTAAATGCAATAAAGTTGGCTTGATTATCAAACAACTCTCTAGTGACTTGAGAATTTAAACCTTTCACTACTAGACTAGCTAGAAGCTATTTTCTGGTGTAGTGCAATAACTAAAATACCATGCACTTGGCTGATGGATTTGCTTGGTATTCAGCAATAACAAACAAAAGGCCCACAGGACGATGAAAGCCCACAGGAAAACATGAGGTTGGATATAAACCTTCTTGATCAATATTTAAAGACTGGCAAGATAGGTACACTATGTACAGATAATTCTCATATAATAATACAAATCCTCCTGCAGTAGTAGATACATGCTACTTACCTATGCCTGGGTAAGAGTAGCAAACTAATGGTAATTATTAGAAAGCAGCAAACTATAAAGCAAGTGTGTAATGCTCCAAGCTGGAACACCTCAAAGGAACAAGGAGTAGCTTTCATTGCTGGCACTAACCAGTTCTTGTATAGTTTGTCATTTTTCAGTTGTCTTCCAAAAGATTGTGATGCTCTCCATTAAGCCATTTTGCTATGGTGGTTTTTTTTTCCCTAGGGGTTGGTCAGGGTTTTTGTTGTGGTTTGGGTTTGGATTTTCTTTTTAGTTTTGGCTTGGGTTTTTTTGTTTTGTTTGGGCTTTTTCTAACTGGTGTTCTTGACAGTACTACACAAGGTCATAAACAGATCCTAAAGAATCACTTTAAATTGGAGTAATGATAATGAAACCATTTAACAAACTTACAAAGCTGAGCAAATACTTTAAGCTAAGCCCAACAATGTCCTAGAATTAAATCCACAGAAAATTAAAAAAATTCTAAAGAACCTCCATGAAAACTGAATTTTTACTAGAGAAGGGTTCTTGCTCTTTTTTTCCCTCACATTTGTTCACTGAGACTGTAGAAGCAGAGCTGTCCCAAGTAAATGACCAAAAAAAGTATTTGTTAAGTGAATCTGCCTTCCCTGCACTACTTCCCAACCTAGAGACCACTCCATACTGTGATAGGAATATACAAACTGTATGGCTGCCACTCTGGCTAGTAACATCCACCTGACCACCTCAGATCATGAAACAATGAAGAATCAAAAAATAAAGTGGAAAATAAAACACATTGTACAACATTTTGCTTACCAGTTTAGTCAGTTAAAATGTGTATTTGTAATCCCATGCCTCTTGTAAGGTGTAACTTAAACACCTTATGCCAACTCCAGTTCTCAAGCAGTGTTGCTTTTCTGACAGGGCTGCCATTCCCTGGTGTTGTTTGGACTGAAAGACACAGGATCACTGCAAATCTCTGTGGGTTTTGAGGGTTGAGTGTAGAGAGGACAGATGTACAAAGGCACGTGAGCTGCTACAACTGTTTGTGACACTATTTGACAAATTCAGTACTTAGTTCAATGATTACACTTAGCAAAAAATTACTTCCATGACACAAAGACTTTCCTAAGCTCTCTAGCAAGTCAGCAACCCCTGAAGGTTCATCCATGTGCTGACTGTGGACAAATGGGAGACAGAAAAGTGATTTTCAGATATTTGTGAGAAGTGCTAGGACAAGAGAAGATAACCCACTCAATATGCAGCATCATTAAAACTTAGTGTTCCTACCATGGCAATAGAAAAGAAATTATAGTTATCATACCTGAAATACTGCCTTTGTCATTTTAGCAGTAGAAATGGCTCAGAGAAAAGTGTCAGATTATTTTATACGAGATATTAAGACAGATTTTGCTAATCTAGATTAAAAAAAAAAAAAAAACCAACCAAACAAAAAAAAAACCCAACTATTTTCTAGCTGTTTTAAATACTACTTCACAAGTTTCATTTAACCAGCACTGAAGTGCCTTGCTAAGCAGTCTTAACACAGTGGGTCAATTTATATTCCCCTGTTTCCAGTGTGCTTTACTACATGTTGGTGAATATATGGAATGTATCTGCGGTATGGAATGTTCATTTAAATAATTCCTCTACACAAAAGGACATTCAAAATTTAGAGCCCTTAAACCTGCCCAAAACAAAGTCTGTATCACCTCTGAAATGTACTGCTACAGCATGTTACAGAGTCTTGTTTTCAAGTTAAAATGGGTTGAGTCAGTATTTGTATCAACAACACAAGCATCTGTTATAGTCCTTGGTGAAAATAACCCTTGTAAGAGCTATCTGTCCTTATGTGTCAGAACATAAGTTGATCCCCATATAAATTGTGAAGATATTTTCCCCATATCACACTGTATTGCACAATTGACCAAAAATATGACTATTTTACTTATCTTGATCCTGATCATGTCAGTTAAGAGTCACTTCTTGGAACAAGGCTATTCAGTTACAGAGCAGACCATGAAGCAGCAATTTTTTTTTTGTTGTTCATCTTTTGGAAATGTAACTGCTGATCTCTCAGTTTTGCAAGGACTTTTGGTTTTGGTTGTCTATGAGGCAGCTTGTCGTCAATCAGTCATACCACTAGAATGGTGTTGGTGATAAAACCATTGCTTGGTCTTCCCAGCAAGCAGGCTGCACTGCCAGGTGTCCTGAAGGAAAGACCACCCCGTTGACTTCAGTTCCTTCGCTTGCACACATAAACAAATTCTCAGTTTCCAAAGACCAAAATCCATTCACCATCTTAAATTCATCAGTCAAGTCTCCACCTTGAAGCGTGACACCTGTACAGTCTTTACAATCTTAGTGTTGGGTTTTCCATCAACATTGTTAGTGGATAGCAGAGATGGTTCTTCTATTAGGCTGTCCTTAGATCCATTCTGCCTCTGAAGAGAATAAATTAAACATGTTGTTGAAAAGATACAGCAGAATTTAAACACTGTATTTTGCTAACTTGCTATGAAAGCCTTCGGCTATGGGTATGGCAATTCATGTACACACATCAGGAATATTAGTCTCTACATTTATTTGATCAAACAGAACTTTTTCCCCTCTTGCCTCCTGCCAGCTGCTGCCCCTTTGTGCTATTGCCTCTTCAGAAAATGCCATGATTAATTATTTGATATTTAGCAAAACACTGCAAGTAAACACTCACAAGGAATTAATGGCCACAGTCATGAGGGAGCCTGGGGCAGAGGGAGAAGAGAGGTGTTTGTACACACTGAACATTTTAACATTACTGGTAAGTTAGGTGTTTGGAATTCTCCCTTCCATCTTTTGGTTCCCCTTTTGTGTGTTTGTAATAAAGACCTGTGAGTGCTTTTGAACAGAATTTGCGTCTCACATTCTGACCTCAATGAAACTATCAAAACTGAGAGATATGGTAGTGTAATGTATGATGAAAGACAGTGATTAAGTTATATTAACAAAAGGGAAGTTCTGTGCTTTTTAGATGTCAATAGCTTAAAAAAATATTCAGTATTTGTGGGGGGAAAAAATAAAAGAGAAAGAAAATTAAAGAAGCACTGTTTCAAGCCCAAGCAACAAAACTCTTCTAAAAGAAATGAATAAATGATGTGATTACAACTGCATCACAACCACATTTGCATAATTCAAGAAGTGGTAAAAGTCAGTTTTCCTTCAGTGACAAGCAGAGATACAACTTAGGAATGCATCAGATTGGGAAAGAGTTCTCCAGCAGCAGAAATAGGTGTTCACAGGAGCATATACTAAGAACTACATGTATTTTGAAATACAAACAAAGTCTAAGTAAAATACAAAAGTTCAATTCACACTGCTGCTGAAAAAAAACTCATCTTTATTTTTCACTGAAAAACAAAGACTATCTTAAATAAAGCACTAGAGCCCCACTTGTCCCTCCAATAAAAAGGAAAATTGAAAAGGATGTACAATCACTAACCTGTTGAGTCAGTTGGATGCTGGGAACTTTCCCATCTGAAGATCGTGTCACAGGCAGTGGAGGGACCAGATCAGTTTTGACACTGGAATTACGGTATCACAAAATGGATACTGCTTTAATTAGGTAAACTATAACTGTGCAGAGGAAGAACAGTGAAACTGACACAGACTGTTCTATAGATCTGAAAGGCTTCTATCATTTGACTTAGGACAGCTGAAAGCTGTCATGCTAGTCCTCTGTGGGCACCTTCAGGGCATAACCCATCCCATCCATGTCTTTTCCTGGTCTTTGGAAGCAGCCCAAATTGATACAACATCATTGACAGAATGGTTTGGTTGGGTAGGGACCATAAAGACCATCCAGTTCCACCTCCTGCTATAGACCTGGATACCTTCCACTATCTCAGGTTGCTCAGAGTTCCCTTCAACCTGGTCTTAGGCACTTCTAAGGATGGGGCAGCCACAGCTTCTCTGGGCAACCTCTGCCAGGGCCCAGCCACACTCATGGCAAAGACAAGTCTCGCATGAAGTCATGAGTGTGCCACACCTCCTTCAGGGTGCTATCCAGCTACAGCTCACCTTTCTGCTCGTTTCAAAAGCTAGGGAACTGTGTTGCATATTTTTGTGGCCTTGTTGCAACTGAGAATGGGGCTGTTGCTTTTCCATTCAGAAGTACTCTTCGGTCTTCTAAGAAAGACTGATCCACCAATTGATGAAGGGGGTTGTACTAGAGTTCCCATGGAAAGAATTACAGACCTAACACTGATAACATCTTAACTCTATCAAGGATGAAGTTACCTGGAAAGCAACTCATGGATTCTCACCCCCTAAGCAACATTATGACCTACCAGTAAAGAATACAGGTTTATTTCAGCCTTTTCAGTTTTCCTCCTTCCAAATGGATCAAGAAAGTCACTGTGGCTAAGAACAAACCATAAAATGTTTTTGGAATTATTTCATTTATGTTTAGCTCTGAAGACATACTATTCAGGAGGTTGCCTGAACCCTGTACCACCAACAAACCACTTTTATGCAGCTTCATGCCACCATGATCTCTAAACAACCTTTGGGCTGCACTGGACTAGTTCAATGCTAATAACCATGTTCACATACTTCACTTCAGACAGGACAGATCTCTCCCCATCGGAGCACTGGGACCGCCGGTACTGCCGGTAGCTGCGAGGGGAGTGCGAGTGCCGGATTCGGATGGGATCACCTTGAGTCCTGAGAGAGACACAGAATTTACAACAGGGGGTTGGTAAACCAGATCTTTGGCACAAAACATAAATTCAGCTGCAGACTGAGAGTCTGCTTTTTGTACTGAAGTGTAACAGATGGCTTTTTCCAGTGGCTGAATTTAAAGGGCTGCTGCTTCTTTTTAGAAGTCTGCACTTGGAATTTAATGCTTTAAGAGAGGAGAGGACACAAACTGGCATGCCCATATTTGAGAATGGAACTTTAATAAAGAATACAATAATTTATGTGTCCTTAATATCAACCTTTTCTGCATAGTGGTATTTGGAAGTATATTATAATGCACCCAGGATCCCATTTGTGCCACATTCAGCTGCTTGCACTGAGACTTGGAATCCCAAATGGGCAATTATTGCAGTGAAACGGATGTTGGTTCTTAAGGAAATAGCTATGCCCTGGCAGCTGCCCATGACAAGCCAGGGAAGGGGTTGCAGAGATTAAAGACTGCCTTGGATGATCAGAATATTTAAAACAAAGAAGTTTAAGAAAAAAATTACTTTCTTGTTTGCATTCCCTTCTTTCTGGTTCTGTAGTTTATAATATAAGAAATTTTCATGGCTAGCCTAGGGAGACATACATACCTACAGACAGACAAGTTTATGAATGTGTGGGAGAGATTAAGATGGGTTTTTTCTCATTTTGAAAAGGAAAAATATTTGATTTTAAGATTATTAAGTATCTGCACCCAACCCATCCTAGAGGAGTATTTGGAACAGATATGATCTTATAGATTACGTGTAAACCCATTCGTATTTCAGTAGGACAGAGTTCACAGTAAAGTAAGAAAAGTGGGCTTTTATTTTCACCAAAAAAAGCTGACATAAACTCACTCTACTTTAGTGTATGGAATTTCTTTCAATTGCTCCTCAGATAGTCCAGATGGATCCACAAGCTCCTTCCTGTAAAGGATTAGGAAAAGTAAAAAATGTAACAGTAACTGTGAAGTGCAAAAGTTTTTATTTTATTGGGCTAAAAAGATTTAGTAAAACAAACTGTTGTCAGCCCTGAAGCTATCTTGATGTCAAAATAGGACACCTATTTTGAAATAAGTGTAACTTCACCTTGATTGCTTCAACTGCATGTCCCATCCTGTTCCACCTTCTTCTCACCTCCCTGCAAATCTGATCTTGTTGCTTCACAATATCATGAGCATTATGTGTACTAAACAGTGAATATGCTTTGAAATTGCTTAATATCTTCCTAAGGGGTAATGGGGTGTCATGCTAAAAGTGTTGATATTGACATTTTGGAAGCCACATAGGAATAAATCTCTAAAATTATGTATTGTTCTTTAATAATTCATTTACATACAATGGTCATCTTTATTCCATGCACTCAGTGACCTGCAGTATCTTCTACACACAGGAGTCATTAACATATACAAATTTTAGTGAAACTAAATCAGTGTAGTGCGACAGTGGAGGGGATTTGAATAACTACATTACAGGCAAACCAAGCATCTCTCAAACCCTACAAGGACCATACTTACTGAATATGTTTCCACAGTTCTTCTTTAGCTTGTACATCTGGGCTTCTCCTATAAATATCAACAAAGACAACAAAGGCTCAGCTGTGAAAACCATCATCTGACATGTTGCTGTTCAAATAACTTTTAACAGCAAAGACCCTGCACAGAAATCATGATAAATGTAATCCATCAGTGACTTCAATTCTAAGGTTTGTTATCTCATAAAATTCATTAAACTTCTTTGCTTTATTTCAACTGAAAAGTCATTTCTTGAATGACAGGCTCTCAATCACAATTCCAGTTCCAACAGCCTTCAGCAAGAGTGTACATAAAATATAAACAACAGCAGAATTCCCCAAGCCAAATCACTGCCCAGTTGCTGCCAATACTTATCCCTTCAAGGACAACACATTTTGGAATAGCACTTCTGAAAAAGGCCCTCTGAAATGTCTGTGGCCCACAGAGTCCGTGGTGGGCAGAAGGAGGCACAGGCCACAGATCAGTAATTCCAGCCATTCCCAGTGGACACCAGTAAAGACCTGTGGCTCCACTGCAATCACAGTGCAGCCTCTCTCTTTCTGGTCATCTCCAAAAAAGGTTTCTGTTCAATTTATGTATATTTTTTGTGTCCAATTTTAAAAAATAAAAATAAAAAACACCAAAAAACCACACACACACACAAAAAAAAAAAAAAAAAAAAAAAAAAAAAAAAAAAAACCAACAAACTAATCAAACCAGCAGCTATGCCTACTTATGCACCTAAATATTTTAGCAAATATTCAATTCACGCACAAAGATCGTACCAAAAATGGTAATCTCCCTGTTACAGACATAGAGATGGAGCAAAGCAAACCTGAGGGGCAGGTTTCGCATTTTGTACTAAATCAGAGGATAGATGTTTCTAACGTTCTTTTTACTTTTCTTTTGCTTCTATATTGCAAGGTAAGTGCAAAAGCACCACTGTTATTTAAGCTGCACCTGGAATTCACCCAAACCCATTCAGAGCAATAGATTAACTACATTTGCATGGAGAGATCAGATAACTCTTTTCCTTGTCATTATATAGGCTCAGTGTCAACAGCTAGACTGTTCCACACTATCTAAGATATGAGGGATGCAACTTTTACACACATGCAGCACACATAAATATGCTCAACGTTTCTCTCAAATACTCCTACACCATCAGGTCATACAGCCTGATCTTTTATTCTCTTAGACAAAAAGGACTAACATATTCAAAGATGTTTTAGGAGGGATTTAATCCAAATTTAGATGCAGATTAAGGAGGACAGCAGAGATCTGCATTTTTGCACTTCTAAATGGGCTCTCACCATTTCCATGTTTGGCTTATTTCCAGACTTCAGCCTAGGAATAATGTTCAGAGACGTTTATAGGGCAGTAAACACTATACAGCTGATGTAAAGGCGGAATATTTTGGGATGGTAATGTTTAGATTTTATAGGAGCAGAAGTACTAGGAGATACTACTTGACTGGTTTATAAACACCAGAGAAAGACCAAAGGGCGAAAAGCAACCTAGCATTTGTGTTTCCCTAGTAGGGCTAAAATTAATTAATCCATAACCACCTCAGGCTCCAAGATTTTCCAGGCAGGATGATTCCTGTCCTTGACAAACTGCTGTCCATTCCAGCTCCTCAAGTTCTCATGATGGCAACAGCCACAGCATGGGTGGTTTACAGTCCATTTGTTGTCTGTGTTCAGAGCTTTTTAAAGATTTTTGTGTTTCTGTTTATTATAATGCATTTAGTTTTCTCTGATTTTCACTTCTATCTGTGCCTCCTGCTATCTGTGCCTGCTTTCTGTGACCATGTATTTTTCTCTGTGATCTCTGCAATTTTCCCCTCTTTCCATCCCTGCAATTACAATAATAATAAAGACTTTGCTGTACAATACCAATTTAGCAGTGTGGCATCCCATAGAGGGAAAAAAAAAAAGAAATAAAGGGCTAATTACAATACTCCTAATACTCCTTCACCCTTCTTGCATTTACTTCTCTTTATTGCATCTGTCCATGCTGCTTTTAACTCCCTGATGCAGTAAATTCAGTGGCATTTAACAGCCTTTATCACCCCTCAGTTTTGAACTGATTTCTGCCCCCACCTAGCTTCCTGCTCACAAAATAGCAGCTGCAAACCCTGCAGTCACCCTGGGGGTGGAAAGACGTCCTCTTCTGAGGCTGAATAATCAGACAGTGGGGGATGTAAAAGCTCCCTGGAAAATGCCAGCTTCTCCAGGGAGGCTTTGTCATGATTACAAGCCCTAGTTTGCTCGAGGAAGCAAAGCCCCAAGGTCGCTTCCTAACCCAGGACCCACACAAAGCAGGGTATTGTGCACACCACTGACCCATTTGATCAGCTCATGGCTTTTACTTATTCATGGAAATACAGCAGTTCAGGACCTGGCCTTAAGTCTCAAGTATCACAAAGCATCGTGTGAAGCCTCACCCACAGTAAGAAATATTTGTGGGGCAGCATGGAAAGAGAGTGGTTAAATAAGAAGACATCTTCATTTCTCCACTTTCTAGGAACTGTGCTTCCTGCTTTCTGTGACCAGCTCCAGGTTTTTTGCTCTGTGATCTCTGCCATTTTCCCTCTTTCCATCCCTGCAATTACACTAATAATAAAGACTTTGCTGTACAATACCAATTTAGCAGTATGGCATACCATGGAAGAAAAAAAAAAAAAGAAAAAAGGGCTAAATACAATAATTCCTCAGACCAAACTTCTCTTAGACTTCACATCCTGCAACTAGTTATTTTCCATCTGTTCGAGAAGTGTTTCGATACTGAGATAACCTTACAGCATTTATTCAGGTTAGCTCCCCACCAAAGAATATAAAGAAATATGATACAGATAAAGTAACTTAATTAAGGCATTTTCTTTCCAAAGGCCTGTTCCCCCTTCCTCTGAAAGCAAAACGATGGAAAGCTTACAAAAAGAAAAGTGAAATGTAAGATGAAATGTAGGTATTGTATATACTGCATAGGACATTCATGTTTGTATGGTTCTTGAGAGCCCACAACAAAGCAATTCTTCTGTTAAATCTTTAAAGCCAGATCACAATCCCTGTTTTACTTTGTTTTCATCTTTTTACTGTGAATTTTTTTAGAGCTCACTGTTTTGATATATTGGAACTCAGATTGTCCTATCTCAGTATCTGAATCAATACCTTCTGGACAATTTGCATGTTAATCAGTTTCTTTAATGCACAAGAAACCTAAAGGGACTTCCCAGTAAGTGATGAATCTCATAGGGGTTTTTTGTTTATTTTTTATTTCGTTTGCACAAGCTGGAACAGCCTACACATTAATAAGGTCTACATTATTTTTTGTGCCTGCATCTGCACCCTTATTAATATTTCAGTTTGAGTCACAAATGGTAAATTTAAATAGCCATGGAATTTTATGGCCATTCTTCTTAATTACTAAAAGCCCTTTGGCTACACAGATGTTTTGCATGAACTCTTGAAAATAAACCCTGTGGAACTAGAATTGGGAGCTCTCTGCCTTTGCTTATTCCTTGAGAAGAAAGAAAGGTCAAATTCCTGTCAAACACTTCTATTCCCAAGACCAAGGAGACACCACCTTGCCACCACAAATTATTAATATTACTTATTATCAAGTAAATGAAATGCGCAGTGCCAGGCACAGTAACAAACATTTCAGACACTACTTCACATATCCGAAAGGAAGCTCCATTTACAAATGCAATAATGGACTTACTGTGAAAGAATTACCTGTTCTACTAAATTTAAGGGTTTATATCAATGTTTGAATGGGCAAGTTGAAATGACCATTTGACAACATTTAAAACCAAAACAACCATAACCTATGGAATTATGTTTCCTTTTCTTCTGAATTGTATCCAGTCAAGTAAACAAACAGCCGAGACAAACTAAATTAAAGGCATTCTCTTGTAATGTACTACATGTTAACAGTTAAATGCCTTTTACTAATTTATTTTCAAAAATTAGTTTGGGTTTATTTCATTGTGGGTTTGTTTAGTTTTGTGGGGTTTTTTTTAACTGGTGAGTGTGAAAAAAAGGAGAAACTCATGAATAACTAAAATAATAGCAAAAGGAAATGAGAAGCCTTCCAAAATTTTCAGGACTTCCTCATTTTTTGCTTCCTCTAGGACCTTTGCTTTCTAAGTTAGATGCTTAACATCTATGTGTTTTTGCTAAAAGTAGTTTAAATTAAATATAACTCAGAATGTCACTGTGCTGGAAAATCAAAGCCATTTATTAATTTAAGTTAACCACAAGAGGGAACCCGTGCTGTCCGAACAATGAGATTTCCCTGGCCTGTGGGGAAAAAAGAAAAGTTGGCTACAAATTTAACATAACCATTATTAACTAAGTACATTTCCTAGTTTACAGCACTTACTGTATATAATAAAACAAACCAAAATCAAATTTAATCAACTGTATTTGCTGGATTCCATACAAGTAAGCTTTAATATTCCTGAAGTTTAGTAATATATCATTGCACAATTATACCTAATAACACAAGACTTTTGCGCAGCTGAAAGCGAGCAAGTCTGTACAAAGCCTGTTAAAGAAGAAATTCCAATATTTGGATATTTAAAGGTAAATTCTGTTCCTCATAAAGAAATAAAACTGCACTATAAAACTGGAGACAGCAATGGAGTTCTAGGAACATGGACAGCTGAAAATAGAACTCAAGTGGATTTTAATGCTGGAAACTTCAATGCTGAATGTGATTTCAGTGATACCAAACAGAGTGTCTATGCCCCAAAACCAGGCCATTTTAGAAGAAAAATGTAAATGAAAGGAAACCAACATTTTCATTAGCTTGAGAAAATTAATTTCAAAAGCTGATAACTTCACCATGTCAGAACAGGCTGTAAGCAGTGCCTGGCAGTAGGGCTCCATCATGGAAATCCTGACAATGGGATGAAATATAATTCGGACCGCTGCTTGTAAGGGATAATTTGACATGGAAACATGAGCAGCTGCTTTCATCTGGAACACCACTGCAGATATTATATGATTAAACAGGTGTACATGTATTCCATAAAAATCTTTGCAGCTACCAAAAAAAAGCTCAATGCTTCCACACATGTGCTTCCCAGAAAAGAGGAATCACTGTACTTATTACAGAACTAATGTTTAATGAGCCACAGAACCATCCCGGACTTCTTCCCAGGTCATGGACAGAGTTTCTCAGCACCTTGTTACAAAGCCCTCTCTGCATTATTTGTGCCCTAAAATTCAAATCATCAAAACAAAGGCAATTTGACCACAAAGACAAATCTGCTAATGTGGGAGTATGCTCCGTGAAAATCTCTGCTCCTCAGCAGCTGAGGACCACCGCCACACTGGAGATATTCCTCCTGCTCTTTAACACGATTCAACAGCCTTAATTTACACATCAAAGGGTGCAAGGGTTACATACGATCGAGATCTGTGCCTGGATCGCCGGTAGTTTGGATCTGCCTGGGTTTTCCCCTTCTGCCGCCGCAGCACAGCTTCCCACTGAGAAGCCGAGTCAACCATGTCATTCTCCTGCCGCAATCTGTGAAAGAGGTACCAAGACTTTAGTCTGAGGGCAGGATGGTCTGAGAAGCAATGGGGCATTCCCAGCCCCACTCCCCAAAAAATCCAGTTCCTGCAATGCTGTACTTAACCTTTCACCTTGCTAAATGTTAACTAATGCTCCCAACTGCATTAAAATGTAAGAGCTGTATTAAAGAAAACTCGCTGATTTCTTATTTAGAAACAGCATGAGCCAAAAATGTAACAATCCATGCCTTTAAGAACAGACACACGACTTGCATTCTTCTTCCCAATCCAAGCTGAACATCTGGAATTTTTTCCCATTTGCATATTCCCCTCTACCTCATCTGCACAAAATGGGAGACACACATCATGCTACAAGGTTGTACTATTACAACTTTCACAAGCACTTTACTTGTAGCATGCAGCTTCCTAGAATCCAAGGAAAACCCACTCGGTGAGTCCCCACTCAGAAGAATCATCCTTTCATCCTAACGTGCAACAAAGTTCAGGATGCCTGCAGATCTCCATGGTACTCCTTCCCGACCATCCCCTGAGGATTTGGTCCCTGTCATGGCTTGTGTGGATCTAAATGACATGCTATGCCTTTTATTCCTTCTTTCTTTTTTTTTTTTTTTTTTAAGCTGGTTTGTTTAAAATCAATTATTCATTAATGGAATGCATTACCGATTGAGCCAAATATCAAAATCCTGTTAACTCAGCACATTTGTTAGCAGGCTGCAGTAATTCCATAATGCCACAGCCCTCCAGGCAGCCAGGCAGCACTTGACCAAAGTTCCACAGATACTTCCTGCAGTTTTGAGGTTGCACATATCACTGCTGCGATTAAGTGCTAAGGTGGTGGAGCAAATGGATATGCTTGGTCACAGTACTGATTTTAAAATTCAGCAGGGATTTCAAAACATCCCTGGAAAATATCTCCCAAGTGTGGATTGTCTGATCGGATGGTATGACTGGGATACTGGAGAAACCAGAGGGGAAAACTGACAGATACAACAAACAAAGAAGCCAACAGAGATAAAAGGATTACACTGGAGACCTAGGCAATGCAAAGTATGTTGTTGTTGCTCTTCACTTCAGATGTACTTTTTCTCTTTGAGTTTTGAATTGTATCAGGCTAAACCAGCTACACAGGCTTCTGCTTTTCCTTTAATCAGATCTTCTCTCACATGCATAATGAATTTTGAGCTCAATCCCCAAGTACTGTAAACAGACACAACCCTACCAAATGGTATGAAGCATCTGGAGAAGACTGCAACCTCAGGTTTTGATTTCTAAGCAAATCTTTTAAAATCTATAATCTGCTGACAGGTATTAACATAAACTTCTATCTAAGGATTTAGTAGAAAGACATACACAGCAACAAGTAATGAGTTGTGATTTTCATCCCAAATAATCCAATTTGTGCAAACAGCAATCATCCCACATGGTATAGACACCACCAACTGCCTCCCACACACAGCAGTCACTTCCATAAAAATACTGAAGATCTAAATATATAAAGTTAGCAGTGCAGCTATTAAAACAAGTAGTATCAGCAAAACTCAGAGTACTGCTGCACCACAGCAGAACTTACTAGATGGAGACATGAAAAACATACATTTTGCAGTTGCAAAGAAAGGTAATATGCTCACATTTATCATGGTAAAAGATGACCAAGGTACCACAATCTCTACATTAAATAAATTACTTGAATGCAGTGTTCAAATTCTAATAATTTTGGGGCATATTTTTTAGGGTTTTGGTGACAGAAGTGACAAAAAAAATGCTGAAAGAAATTTAGTTCGAATCCTAAATTTCTATTTAAAGGTACTTTTGAATAAAAACTGTTGCCCTTGTACTGAAAGCACATTACAGTTTTCCTTCAAACTTTTCACTGAGCACTGGCACAGGCTGCCCAGATATGTGGTGGCATCTCCATCCTTGGAGATACTGAAAAGCTGTGTGGGAGTGATCCTGGACTGCCAGCTCTTGGTGACTGTGCTGGAGCAGTGGTTGGACCACATGGCACTCAGAGGTCCCTGCCAGTTTCAACCATTCAGTCATTCTCTGATTCTAATCAGATGCATCTTCTAAGTGTAGCTAGGAAGGAAAATATGCTTGAGTACACACTGTCTGCTCCTTTAATCTATTTTTATCTACACAATAAATTTTGACCACAGGACTGAAAACACAAATGCATTTCTTCTGTGATTGAAATATGCTCATCACAGGTTCTTCTTCACTTTCATATGAACATCTGCTTCGGAGAAAACATTTATATAATGGAGTGAAACCTCAAAGGCTGAGATCAGGTAAAAAAAATTTCCCCAAGATTTTTCTAGTTTTCTACCTTCAGAAGCTCTCATCTACATTTCTGGTTTTCTCTGATAATTTGTTTTCTTCTGGCAAATAGTTCACAGTGATCTCTTGTCATGTGAACAATATATTCTACTCTACTGTGACCAGAAGCAGACTTCTTTGGTTAATGTGAATATTCGCTCATTTTTTTTCAGTAAAATAAAACACTTTTTTTCTGGTTGTGTCAGGGACCTGATTAGGGAAATAAATTGTATTAGTCTATGCAACAGCAAAAATTTGGGTAACAGCAGTTGCAAGTCTCATTATAATGTCCTATTTAACCCTGGCTGGCTCATCTCTGAAAACAGGAGAGTTACTCATTGCCTCTGGCCTTCCAGCTTATGTTCCTGCTATGGCTGCTAACAAAATGCAGAAATTCATTATAACTGGTTGCTTTCCTGCACCTGCTCACAAGGAACAAGTCTCAGACTTCCAGCTCATTTGTTTAATCGAACACTGATAATGATTTTTTCTTCTGGTCAGATTTCAAGTGATCACCTAAGAACAAGAGATGCTGAAACATTAACATTTTCATTGTATCTTCCATTTCTGAAAACGTGAAAAACTTCAAAACAACCAAAAAAAAATTGATTTTTTTTTTTTTTGCTTTTTATTTTTAACTTTTTTTTTTTTTTCCATGAAATGAGGAAGTGTAGGTAAAGGCCCTTTCATTCTTCAAAAAATGATGAGCAGTACTTAATCCTTCTTACAATTCAGTCTTTATATTACCAGGAGTTCTTAAAAATATTCCTGTGGTCAGTCTCTAATTTCTTTCACTTGCTGGTGGAGCTCCCTGCACAAGGAGTTTCACAAGAGGAAAAAAATCTGGCAAGAGTGTTCTGGGAGAAGGGGATACAAAATACCATTTACTGCTGGTCACTGAAACTACACTCAGTATGTCATTTAAACTTCAGCTGCAAAACAAACCTTCCATGCACACTAGATTATTGTTAGCCAAGTATCCCTACAAGACTGTGCTCTAATTTAGGTAAGCTTCAAAGAAATCTCATGTCTCAGATGTGCTTTATGTCATCCCATGTGAATGTCACAATGATTTTTTAACATTTCTCTAACTACTGCAAGTCATGCTGAAAATGTAATTATACTGTATACTCCTGCTGCACTATCTAGCATGCAATTATTTCTCAGAGATCTGGAAATCATTTATCACTGAATATAAGACACGAAGAAATTATGGCAGCTCATGCAGACAGTAATTTAGAAACTTTGCCTTAAAGCAGTTCCTTCTTTGTCTTTGCATTTCTTTTGCACTGTGTTTATACAATATGAGGAAATTCTATGTGCTTTTAAAAAGTATATTTTCAGAAATACCTCCAGGATGTTGTGATCTCCAGTGCAACATAAAATACACAGATTTGAAGGGAATTTATAGGAAATCAGTAGTTACACCATCTTTTTCATATCAGCAACAAGACAAATAGAATATATAATATAGGACTTGTTAGCATCACCTGATATGAACTATTGCTGTTCTATTAAAACTGGATGCTGTACACCTTTTGGGTTTGGCATACACCCGACATTTTGGAAAACAGAATCTTTATACAATTAGACACATGAATTAAAAGAAACATTGAGATTCATATCCACTAAAAATATTTTTACTTCTCAACAACTTATTTTCTGGTTGAAAAGATCTGCACTTGAATTTGTGAGGTAAAAGTATATGCTGAGAATATCAGTATCAAGATATTATTCACTTTATTTGCATTTATACTGCTAGTCTTTTGTAAGTGTGTCCTGTACTTGATCTTGTGGTTCATTACTGAGCTCTTCTCAAGGAACAGGAGAGCAGGCATTCATTACATACAACTATAATGAGGTAGTCTGGCAATTATCACTCTTCTTATTCAGAAAAGGGTCTTAAGCTTCCTCAGGAGGACTCCATACACATAAAATATGTTAGATCCCTTCTTACTAGGTTTATCTGAGAAAAGTCCATCTCCATTTGTATGTTTCATATCTTCCTGTCTAAAATATTTAATGTATTGTCACCTGTTTCTCTTCTTCCGATGCTCTCTGTTGGAATTTTCAGATTCACTGCCACTGCTGGTGTTACAACGGGACCGTGACCTGGAGAAGAGAAAAGCAGCAAAGGACAATTTTATCTACTAAGACCAAAATTATTGCAGTGCTAAATGAGGAAAGAACAACACTATAAAGACATTACTCAGAAAATCAGAATTAAAAGACTCTGGAGTGCTTGTCTACACCTACAAGCCATATTATCTTTTTCTTATAAATTGATTGGGAAGAACTGCTTCAAAAGTAGTGGACCCAGATTGTAGTATGAGGTGAGTGCTATTTTCATTTTGAATAATTTCACTCTTTCATTTATTTTTTAAAATGTGTATTATTTTATAATTCAGCATTCTTTTTGTAAATGCCACCTTAATTTGTTTCTTGGAAGCGTGAAATATTTCATCTCTAACCTGTATGGCTCTTTTCTTCTTGCAGATTCTGGTACACCCAGCAGAAATTATACAGAATTCTGGGTTTGCAGGCAAAACAAAATGCTCACAGATCTATATATTCTCTTCCCCTCAACTCCCATCCTGTAAGTTCCTAAGTCCTCAGTTTATGGAGACTGTTCTCTTCTCTATCCTAAATTAGAAAAGTATTAATTCAAATGTATCCCACTCAAAATATGTGTTAGAAGAACAGGACAGCTAAAGTCTAGGAAAATCAGCTCAACCCAGCTTGTCTGAAGGGAATGTTAGGCAGCATGGAAGAAACACCAGTAGCACTAGGATTCTGCTGCTCTTTATGGAAAAAAAGAAGGCTGCACTACCTCCAGGCAAACTCCTCTCTACTACCTGAGACCCTTAAATCTGTGACTGCATTTTGGAGCACACAAGCCAGCTTTGAGGGCTTTGGTCCTAGAATCCAGGACTCCACCACTCTACCCCTGGCTAAAACTGGCACTCTCATCAAAATCTGGTTTGGACCATTTGTTCTTCAGTGTGAGGATAGCTTGGGAATGGTTGGATTTGATGATCTGAAAAAGGTCCTTCCCAACCTGAACATTTCTGTGATTCCATGAATGCCCCCAAAGACAGGTGTGTTTCTTCAATATACTGACAGCACAGCTGATTAATGAGTAAAGCTGACAGGAGCCAGTTCTATAAGGATTTAGGCTGTCTGGAGTTGGAATCAGTGGTGGTTTTGCTTCAGTGGAAAACAGAATCTTTCTTCTGAGGTCTCTGGCCATGAAATAGGAGTTATAAGGGGATAACTCCTGATGATGCTGGTAGAGATACATATTTTCTTATGCCTCACAGCTTTTTTTTTTGCTCTGTGATAGTTGACATTTCTAAGAGGACAGATTTGTTAAACTACACCTCAAACAAGCCAAGGAGAGAAAGCAGTTCCTTAGGAGTAGGTAACAGGTAAGGGGAAGCATTTAATGACAAGGTAGGAAGTTCCTGACTAGCACCTGCCCATTGCAAGTTCTAATGGTTCAGGAAGAAGAGCCCAAAGAGGATGAGAGAAGATTGTTCCCATGGAACAGCACAGATGCAGCATGGAGCTGTTCTGTCTGCACATCTGACCAGAGGACTAGAGGACTAGGACTAAATAACCAGGATACTGTTACCAATGTCATTCTGACATACGAGAGCCTCATGAAATTCTCCATAATACCAGGGAATTATAGTTGCCTCCAACAAATTGCTGAGCCTTTAAGTCCCCTGGTCTATGGAGTCTGTTCTCCCCTCTCTTCTAAGTTAGGAGATCCTTAGCTCAAATAGCTCCCATTCAAACAAAAATGTCTTAGAATAATAGGACAGCTAAAGTATAGGAAAATCAGTTCAACCCAGCTTGCCTGAAGGGAATAAATTTGGCAAGGTGAAATTTCCCCCAGCGAAGGAGCTTCTCCCTGTTGGAAAAGATACCAAGTTTAATTTTTTTTTTCATTTTATAGCTTTGATGAGGTTTGTTCGCCTTTGCCCTGGAGGAAGGGAATTGGAGCTTTTTTCAGGGCATTGTCCCACTAGGGAAGGTCTGATGAATTTACCATCTAAACAGTCTGGGAGTAGCACAGAAGAAAGACAAAAGACAATGACCATCAACGACCATCAACTCTAAACATCAACCCTGGCATGGTCGGAGACACCTGGTCTGGGAAAGGAAAGATAGGAATGAGGACCAAAGTAGCATTGGAGGCAAACAAATTCATATCCAATAGAAAACCAGATACTGAGAACTACATAACTTGGAGCCAATGAACATTGAACCAATTAATCTCTATGGGTTTTGACTGTGTAAAGTCAGTGAAAAATCTGGTAAAGTGTATGTGTCATGGAATTATTTCCTCTGCACACCCAGGCCACACCCGTGAGGATGAAATTATTTCTGTTGCACATGCTGGTCAGAACAACATCCTAGCCAGAATAAAGTAATGCCTTGATTCTCTATTACTAATACTCTAATTCTCTAATGCTAAAAATGTAGTTCCTGCAGTTTCAGTGACATCCCAATCCCCAAACTTCATGTTCAAAATTTAAAGCCAGGTTATCCATGCTGCCAGCTAAAAATACACTTTTCTGGGTGAAGCTCAAAGTGGGAATAAGAAATATGTGTGATAATATGGAAAATTGTAACCCCAAAGGAAGAATTGGTGTTTTTAAAGATGCTGTCAAAAAGAGTCACTCAAGCACAATGGAAGAGTTAAGAGCAATAAATGCTCTAGAACGGCAGCAGACCTTACACAGCCAAAAGTATACCTTTCCCCTGGCCAGTCTCATCAGATGTTTAATAAATATACCACTACATCAACATCAATAAGTCATTTGAACAACACTGGTTTTTCACACTTCCAGGTTATTAGCATGACTTTTCTACATTTTTCAGTATGACAAGAAGTTTCTTAATGTGATTTAAGTAATTTATGTCATAAGGTACTAAAACAACCAAAAATCACAGTGTGGCAGGCAAAGTACAAGATAAAACATCCAAACTGATCAAACTCAAGCCTTTCTCTAGCTTTTCAAGAATGGAAATCTGATTCACCTTTTGGATATTGCACATTGAATTACCTTGTGTTCCTTGTCAGGAATGCATTTGTGGGGACACAGAAGGGCTTCTGAGCTGTCAGCTGAGTGGAAGCAGCTCATGCTTGTTGTCAGAATATTTTCTTTCACTGAATATTAAATATCACCTTTTATTGAACTAAATAAAATACCAAAAATGGGCAGGAAAAAAAAAGATAGTTTCCTAAATCAGGCGCAAGAACACATGAGATCATTCTGATCTCTGACAATTTTAAGGTACCTTTTGTCCTTTATTCTCCTGTTTTCCTCATCATGTAATGTATTTGATATTTTGCAGGTAAAATACCTATATACTCAGGCATAAGGAGCCGGAAAGAAGTCAGTTTTACAAGAGACGCAAAAATACTGCCTAGAAGAGGGCTTGGAGGGCTGAGGAAAGCTCACATCCTGGCACAGTCTTTTTCTGGTTAAAATGAGAGGAGAATAGCCAAATTGTGAGGAAGTGGAGAAGGTCTTTTGCCACGTGCAATAACAAACGTGGTAAGAGGTCCCTTCTGAGCACTGAGGCTTTCCACCTGAGATGCTTAACTAAATCTTCCCAGTTTTATGTGCTGGACATCTATCACAGGACTACCACTGGCAGCTTGTAATGTTAACATACTTCCAAAAACTATTCTGTTATCTCATAGTAAGTATAAAGTACATGAGCACTTTCTCTGGCTTCCTGTGATTGTCCCAAGATGTTTGTATCTCTGCCAGAGCTCCTTTCCTGTGCTGCTGCAGTGATTCAGATCCTGAGAGTGCCTCCTGGCCTTCCCAAGCTCCAGGAGCCTCTGACATTGAAATGCACTCCACTGTCTCCTTATTCCAGCAGTGCAAGCAGGAGCACAGGAGCAAGGAGGAGCACTAAACAGAGTCATGACAAGCAGATGTGGCAAAAAATCTGTCAGAAGCTGAAGTTGTTGAAGATCACACCCAAATTCACACCTACATTTTATTTGAAATGTGATAACTAGTCAAGTCTGAAATGGAAGATGGGGGCAGGGAGGAGAAGCTTAAGAAAAATTTGACAAAAAATGTACAAGGCAGCAAAAGGACCATCAGGAGTTACATATGCCTTTGCACTTACCTCTGGCAGGACAATCCATTTCAGATGACAGCATACTTGTTTGCAAAACAGATTGATTAAAAGTGGGTAGGGAGGCTGGAGAAGTAACAACAAATCTGCAGATTCAAAATCCAAAAGCTAAAACTTCTGGAACTGACTTTCAAGTTGCCAATAAGCCCTTAGGTAACTTTCACAAGCTGCTTCTAACATGGGGTAGTAATAATGTGCTGCTAGACTCTGCTGTAATAAGGCTATGCCACAGAACATTTTAGCAAAAGATAAGAAAAAATAATAAGGTCATAACACAACAAACCTTTTATGCATTTAGGAAGATGAGGGAAAAGGAAGGAAAGAAGGGAATGCAGTGAACCAAAATATGACTAGTACCTTCAGTTTAATTTCATAGCTGCTATAGGTCATATATTTACCTTCTCCTTTGCTTTAAATCTGAATCTTCACCACTGTTTTGATTTTTCCTGTAACATTAAGGAAGTTTTAATGAAGTGTCATAGAGTTACTTAATACAAATATACAGAACTACCCATAAAAAACCCAAAGTATTTTAGTTTTTTGATGGATTTTTTTTCCAGTATGATGTCAGGCAGAGAAAATAGGGCATGTGCTTGTTTTAAACCCTTCAGGACACCTTTACAATAAGCTTTGAAGGCATGATTCCATTCAAGCTCTCATTGCAAACCCCTGACTTGCAAAATTAAGCAGAGCATGCTGCCCTTTAGAGTTTCCTACTGTTTCCAACATAGCAGAGCCTGGTGGTTTCCTCTTAACTCCAGTAAAAGATGAATAAACAGCACAGCTATTATTATTACCAGTTGGGAAAAGAAAGCGCATTAATAAAACCAAGACTCAGGAAGGCATAGCTTAGTTAAAATCTACCTACTATTGTCAGTCTTTATAGTCTCATATATGAGACAAGACTTTTAAAAACATTTTGTTCATGTGGTAGCTCAAGAGAAAACTTGCTATTGGCATGACCATCTGTCCACTGACTAGATCAGCCCAATGCAAATCCCAGATGATAAAAACAATTTCCTGCTGCACAGTGCACTTTTCTTTTCTTGATATGAGAGAGCATTTTGCATTGCATGTCTCTACTCTTTTGTTTTTACAAAACCAAAAAAGCCCTTCTGACAACTAAGATGCACCAGAAAACCTGTGCTGGTTTTGTCTGCATTAGAGTTAGTTTTCTTCACACTGGCAGGCATGGGGCTGTGTTTTGGGGTTGTGCTGAACACAGGGTTGATAATATAGATATGCTTTTGTTATTGCTGAGCAGGGATTGTACAGAGCCAAGGCCACACTGGGGAGGAGGCTGAGGGTACATGGGATGCTGGGAGGGGACACAACCAGGACAGGTGACCCCAGCTGACCAAAGGGATATTCCAGACCATGTGACATCAGGCTCAGTGTATAAAGTGGGGGAAGGAGGAGGAAGGAGGGGATGTTTGGGCTGATGATGTTTGCCCTCCCAAGTCACCCTTGTGTGATGGGCTGTGCTCTGCTGGAAAAGGCTGCACACCTGCTCAACAACGGGAAGCATGAAATTCATTCCTTGGTTTGCTTTGCTTGGGTGCGTGGCTTTTGCTGTGTTTCTCAACTGACAAGGTTTCTATCTCCTACCCTTCTGATTCTTTCCCTGATCCTGCTGGCAGGGGTGTGAGGGGCTGCCTGGGACTTGGCTGAGATTAAAATGTGACAAAATCAATTCAGGAAACCCATTGCTGTTAGCACCTACAAGGGCTCTATCCAACAGAGCAAATAAACATAACTCCATTGCCTGAGAGTTATGCCTTTATTTGAGGTCACTAAGCATGCACTATGGGTGAGTTTCTTCTCTCCTGTTCCAGACAGCTAATGGCAGATAAAAGGTCTGAAACAGTTCAGAAACCTGACAAGGATAAAAGCTCCACATCAAATTGGATTTCCTCATCAATATAGCTGCATTGTCAGAAGCCCCTTTGCCAGCTCTGGCTTTGAAGGCCAAACAAGGTACTCATTTCAGAGCTGACAGAATGACATGTAACTCTCAGGTGCTGGCTCCTAAGGCAGTTCAATAATACTGCCATGAATATGGCACAGTATCTGTGTTTGTTTATACTTCATAACAGATCACAGCACCAGGCAGGTTGCCCCAGTCATGAAAGCAGCTTCTCAGCAGGACAAATCATCCTCTCAATACACTATTGCTTCAGCACTGTCCCTGTAATTTGCTTTTTTGACATGCTCAAGGACACACAGCACAGAATCTCCACCCAGTCTATTTCACTCCTCTAAGTCATTCAGCTTGTACCAATTGAAATTGTCACCAGTTTTTGCTGGCATCCTCTCTAATGCAAAGTGGTTCACATACGGGACTTTTGAAGACAGCTTTATGGCTCATTTATGTAAACCTTGGGGCAGTTAAAGTAAGGAAATGTACTTATAACACTGTTTTGAAAGCTCACTGTCAAGCAAGCAAATCCATCAGTGCTTTCATTCACCTGGCAAAAAGAGCTCCAGTAACTAAAAGAATCTTGCCCATGCCAATAATGCAACTTTTCATATTTTTAACATCATTTTCCAACAACAGCACACAAGCAAACAACCTGACCAAAGCTTCCTTTCCAAAACGAGCTGTGGTATTCTTGGTCAGGTGGCTTATTTACTAGCAGGTGGGGTTTTTTTACTGACCCCTGGAACAGCCCCTTTCCCAGGACCCAGCTATGCCTCTATGGGTGAGCACTGAGCATGCAGGACTTCCAGTTTCTACACAGAAAGGCTGACAGTCATTCATCTTGAGGCTCTTACCTCCTGCGAACTGGCTGTCCAGACTCATTCTCACTGCCACCAGATGGGTTCCTTCGGCGAGAGTAAGGAAACTTTGGTGATTTATTGCGGTCACTGGCAGAATTATACAGTCCACTGAGATTTAAAAGGAAGAGCAAAGAGTCAGCTTTAAAATTTCCAGGGCAGTTAGGCCAGCTGAGATTCAGCTCACAAAAATTAAAAGATTCATGCACGCACACACGCAGTCATGTACAGATGAGCATTCGGCTATGCGTGTTTTTCTGGGTGTCAGTGGGTGTTCTATGTAAATGAAGATAGCAGTGCTTTCTAGCAATAAATTTTTCACACTGAACCTTGAAATGTACGAGAGAGACCTCTTAGCATTGCCAGGTCAACAACTCTAAGCTTAAAAAATATAGATTATAGTTTATTAATATTCTTTTACCATAATAAAATTTCTGTGCTTTAGTATGGTGTATCCAACCCAGAGCTAGGTATTCTTCATGTTTTCCATGGATGTAAGTATGAAAACTTCCCATGTTTTGTCATGGCATTTGTCTTCATCACAGAGCTGATGCTTGGGAACATGAAACAATTCTATCTCCATTTCTCTTCTGTTCAACCATGCAAACCTCTGCCAATGGTGTGGAGGTGTTCCAAGCTCCAGCTTTCTTTCTGCTTTCCTAAAAGCCTCTGGCCTTCAAACTGAATCCATTCTTTTTCACCTGCCTCTGCAGACAGCTGATTACAGCACAGCTCTGCACAGGTGAAAAGTTCCCACAGCTCATTTCAATGAAAATTATTAAGAGCTGTGAAAGCCTCTGTGCAACATCCAGTCTGTTTATGTGTCTAAACCTGCATAGTGCTTTAGAATTAATAGTTTTGCAAAAACTCAATTCTACCATTGTTGGGCTCCTGCAAGATCAAACCTCCTGCTGTCCTGAGAGCAATTGAAACAGTGGAGACATAAAGTGACAAGATGATACCACTTTTCTAAATATAACCAAAGAAAGGTCTGTAGCAAGGGAATATTTGCTCACTGCTTTGTTCCTGTTCTAGAAACTACTGCTGTTTACAGAAGGAGCACAAGGGGTAAGTCATCAGGGTACCCCAAATGACACATCAGGTACAGACCTGAATTGTCACAGAAAAGCAGGACCATTCTGGATTACGCTTTACATGCTGTCTGTTTACATGGTTCAGTAGCCTATTTCCAAGAGCAGCTGTAAACAACCAGCTACAGGAAGCAAAACCCTGAAGGCAGCTCCCCAGTGCTTCCTGAGTCCCACACCGTTCCCAGTCCAGGAGACTTACTGAGCCAGCTGCTGCACCTCTGTCTTCACAAGCCCTTTAGGATTTTTGCTCCATGACTCACCCAGCTTCCCCTATGGATTCACCTCCTTACTAAGGAGGACCACGGGTCCCCCATTCATGGTAATTCACTACTGCCTGCCTTTTAAACCATCTTCAATAGCTTCACCTGAAGATCCTTAGTTCTTTTACTGGTAAAATAGAGTCCTGGTCACTTTCTCTTTTCTCAGTACAACTCTTGATTTTCTGTATGTCATCCCCTGAAATTGCCTCTTACAGTCTGAAGGAAGATCCTTTCTGCCTCTGCCCTTGCTCCTTATACAGATTTACTGCAGAGCTTTTCACATTTTTGATCACCTTTGCTGCTCCTCTCAAAGCCTATTCCTTTTCCTAAGATAAGAACATTAGAACTGATTCCAAAATGTGATCCACAAATTTATATAATGGCACAATTCTGTTCTCTTGCTTTACAAATAATTGTTAATTGTTTTTTTGACTGCTACACAGCTGATGTTTTCTTTGTTATCCATCATATCCACAGTACTTCATATTAACCAGAAATAGAGGGTTACTTTTTTTTTGTCCTTTTGTATCTCTCTTTACATTTTTTGACTCAACAGAATCTACCCATCAGTCACGCTAGGAGTCTTTCTTCCACTCTTCACAGACAAATTTCTCACATCCTAAACAATTTCGTATCATCACCAAACTTTATTACCCCCTTTTCAAGTTCTTTGACAAATATTCTAAATATCAGAGTTCTGTGAACAGATCTCTGTAAAAAGCCACTGCTCATCATCAAAAAGCCACATTCAATCACTGGCTACCTCCTCTTACACATACTTTCCTGATTTTTAACTGTTTATTTATCCATGAAAGAACCTATCTGCTTACATGTAATACATATCTATTATGAATCAAATAACACATTAATATGTTATATTAATAACCTTCAACCTTCTCCTGTGGTATGATATTTATTATTGCACAATACCTAAGACACCAAGTCTTGCCTTACCTTTGTGGGCCATTTTCCTCCCACGGAGTGCTTGTTTTACTTCTTTGTGTTTCTGGACTGTTTTCATTTTTCATCTTTTTAAAGCTAAATAAGAGTACAGATAAATACACATGTGTATATTTTTTTTAAAAAATCCGACAAAACATTGTACACAGATTACATTTTCTTTTATGCTGACCACTTAACATTTAATTTTAAAGCCATACAGTCATTAGAGAAATCTGCCCTGGCATATAGTTACTTATTTGTTATGTGAAAGAGAGCAAAGGGCTCCTGTGTTGAAAAATCTCTCCTACAAAGAGCAAACATAAGGAGAAAGAGAAAAAAAAAATAAATAAAAAAAAAAAAAAAAAAAGAAAAAAGAGAGAGAGAAAAAAAATCGTCTCTGCAACCTCATAATTGTGGCAGCACTGAGACAGAAAAACAGATAATCCTGTCTCCAAATAAACATGAACAGATACTTAAGCAAGTCTAACAGTAGGGCAAACATACAGCTCGATCTCATAGTCTTCCATAATATGCAGTCAAAAGATAATTGAATCAGAGGCTTTACCTTCTTTTTATTTCACAAAGCTCAAATGAAACTTTTTTTCCATGGGTTTACTTAAATATCTTCAGAACATTTTAAAATTTTTGTCATAAATAGTGCCTAGTAGGAGTACATCCCCGTATCTGGATATGACATAAACAATTATTTAATATTATCTCAAAACTTCCACCTGGTTCAAAACTTCAATCCCTTGTTCCTGACTGTTTCTGTGATTACAGGAAGAAATAAAGAAATACAAACAGCTATGAACAATGGCTCCCTAAACCAAAAAGTCCATCCCTTAATATTTTTTTTACACATTTTTAACTGTCTCATCCCTTTTCCAAGTGAAAGAACCACAGACTACTTAATCTCTCCCAGTACGGGAGTCACCACATACCTCAGATTATCCTTATCGTACTTCTCTACCATTTTTCCAGGTGTACAGTATGTACTTTGTAATGGGAGTGACAAAGTCAGGGGTGATGAAAACTATTCAAAGCATGGCAGATCACAGGTTCATAGGTTCACAGAGTAGCATATCCTTCTCATACCCTCCCCAGTAAAGCCTTGGGTTTTATTTTTGCCAGAAAAAAATGTTTTGTGAAAGAGCTGACTTCACTGACTGCTCCAAGGCAAAGTACCAGGACAGCCACCTGGCTTGAGAGATATATCAGCATTTGTAACATGTCTCCCACCATACCTGTGGGCATGGGGGGAAAAAGCAGTATGGTCCAGCTCTTCCTTTATTCCTATCATTCCCACAGTGTCAGGCTTTACAGCTTCTGACCTATTAAAGATCCCAGATAATTGCCACTTCAAATGCTGGGAAGTGGCTTCTAGCTGAAGCACAGCCTGGTCCAATGGCTTGGCAGAGCTTTTCCTGCAGCACCATCTCTAGAGCTCTTTTTCTGCAGTTCACCTGAGACAGAATGAGGCAGCCACATTGATTTCCACTAACGTCATCAAGTACTGCTGACAGCAACCCCGTACAGTCATTAATACACCATATAGTTATAAAGTGCAACTCAAGCGGGAAAAATACAAGCTTCATAGTTGCTTACAGAGAGGAGGATATAAGCTGGGAGTTCTTTCCACTGAGCAGGAGGTGACAGACTCAGCTTTATGAAGGAATTGTGGCTACTTAACTCACTAATCCACTTTTAACCTCAGCCTTTGATTACTACAGGTCACTGAGTTAATAATTTAATTTTCACAGAGTGAACAAAATGCAAAGCTACAGTAAGTCAGCAGGAAAATAAATTAAATTACACTTTATCAGGTAAAGAATTTTCTTAATACTGCACCCATTAATTATTGACTTATAGTTGCATGCAGTCAGGCTTAAAAATATGTGCTTACTACGGACTGAGCAAGTAACTCAGATAAATATATTTCTGTCCCATATTGCAAAAAAGGAATTGATTTGCACAGCATGTGCTACTGAACGATACCTAGGCTGAACTTAAACAACTGTGAATACTGTTTTCAAATCTTGAAAGGAGGAAGAAAATGTACCTGGGAGGTGAATTTACTGCATTAAATTCCCAAGTCATTATTCATTTGAGCAGACACACACTTTACACAGAAAGCTAGAGCCTGGCAGCTCTTCAAATACCAGCAGTATCTCCATGAATGCAGTTGCAAAAGGTACTCAGTTCATTCGAAGTATGTGAAAGGGTTAGGATCTGATTTTCATGTGAGATTTCATTGGGGTGTTTTTATGATTTGAGTTTACACCACTTATACAGAAGTGATTAACTGTAGATCTCAACAATGAATTAGATATTAAATATGAAAACTCATCTTATGAACACTACTGAAAGATGCTCTGCAAGCATCACTAACAGCTAATGCAAGAATTACACAGGATGGAGCAAACTTCCAAACTGTAAGTGCTACACAAATTTTGTGTGCTCCCTCTCACATACACAAAGCCTAGCATACCCAAAAAGGTGTTTTTCATTTGCAGATAGAGACACAGAGAAAAACAAATCAAATCCTAAATGGAAAAACAATTTCCAGCTTTTTTTTTTTTTTTCTGGAAGTGACTAACACTGTCTAAAACATGACTCAGTAAGAATCTCCCTGTGAACTGCTTTTAATCTGTCAAGGTAAGAAAGTAAACTCAGTAACCTTGAACCTGTCATATTGAGAGCCACTTATTCTGGTTCTTCATCTAAAACTTGCCTATCCATTTCTTTTTAACAGCTCATTGTTAAAAATTCTGTAGTAAAGCACTCCCATCCCTCCTAAAACAAAGATCTCTGCACTGTGGAATAATGGTATCTCTTGCTTTATATCTTTCTCCTAAAAAATCACAGAACACAATGGCGGGATTGTCAGGGTCCTCTGTATGTCATTGGTCCTGCTGCCTGCTCCAGCAGGGCGACCCAGACTCCGTTGCCCAGAACTATTCCCAGACAGCTGTGGAATTATCTTCAAGGGTGGAGACTCCACCACATTTCTGGACAACCTTTGCCAGTGCTTAGTCATCTGCACAGAGAAAAATTGTTTCCTGACATTCAGGGGGAACCTCCTGTGTTTCAGTGTGTGCCCACCTGGTCCTGTCACTGGGCACCATTGAAAAGAGCCTGGATCCATCCTCTTTGTGCCTTCCTTTCATGTATTTTTTAACCTCTGTATTGTTTTCTACTTAATGGTTTAGCTTCAGCATGACCAAGTGGCAATCATAAACTTTTTTTAACACACAATTAGCATTATTTTCTAAGGGCTAGAATAGAGGATTCAATTTCCCTAAAAATGAGAAAGTAATTTAGCTCAGCTTTTATTTTGGAGGTCAACTGTTCTAAATGTTAGGCAATAAAGGACACTATCCACCAAGTATTTGCAATGCATCTTTTAGATCCTTTTTCAGAGTTCAGTCCAGATACCTAGTTTGTGAAGCCCACGGCCTCAATGCATAGGTAAGCCCAGTTAAGGGTTACTCAGTCAAGAAAAAATCCAACTGTCAGGACTGCCAAGCATGTAGATACAGATGTCTAAGCAATTAAACAAAAGTTAAGTATGGTGGTTTTGACTCACACTTTTGCAAGATCACTCTTTCTCTGATTCAGGCAGATAAATTCCAACTAAAATTAGGGGTGGGGATACAAACCCCTTTCTGAATCTGAGCCCTACCTCTTCCTTTCAAATATGCCTAATAACTAGAGATATGCACTGATAAATTATACACAGCAGAACACACAATTCCAGAGGAGCCCTGGCAATTCGGTACTCCTACAGATCAGGAACAAACATGATTTTTACCTGATTTTACTACAATTTGAACAGTGTAATGGGCAATCACTGCAAGAATAAAAATCTGCTGGGAGAGAGCTCATGCCCAGCTCCTCCCTGGCACACACCCTAAGCTTGCTCTGTTCAGAGACAGAAGGCCCATGACCTGGGGCTCTGACAGCCCCAGGGGAGAGACTAACAAGACTTCACAGAACTATCCTGACCAGTGCACTTTGGGTCATTACCTGGTTTTTTGCTATTTTAACCTGAGACTGTCTGCCTTCCCATTAAGTTGTGCTGATTTATGGGTATTCAAACCATGTGTCACCTGAAATCCCTGTTCCACATTGATTGGAAGATCAGGGTTTTATTAAATTAAATACTTGAGAACACTCTCTAACTTTTGTCAGAAGATGATCAGATGGTCCTGAACTCAAGAGCAGGATAAACTGATACTAATGATTACTAAACATGTTCCTCTATCCAATGCACTGTACAACCTCTTAAAAGCTGTAAGGAAACTGTGAATTACATACCTTTTCACTGGAGAAGGTGCAATAATTTTGGTAGTTCCTTCATTTTCGCCATTTGTTGTAATCTGGCTCATGTTCTTAGAACCTGGGGGGAAAAAAAAGCCCAAAACAGTTAAATCCTGTAGCATAAATATTTGTACAACTACTCAGCATAATCACCTAGAGGGCAGCATGAGAGATAAAATTACAGACCAAATATCTGGTGCATGCTCATCTTGTTAAAGGTGTGTAAGGATCACACCTTTGTGTCTTATCCTTATTTCCAGTTGTACCAGGACTATAAAGTTTAACATGAAGAACATTCATTACTCTTCCACATAAGACAGAGAAGTCTGATGCTGTTGCTCTCAAGGGGATACTCTGCCAATGTCAACAGAAGGAAATTCCCTGCTCAGTCAACAATGAGAATAAAGGTGTGAGGAAAATACAGTTTGGTTCCTGCTGGTGCTATGATTTCTGTTTCCATGCTATGCTGTTAATATCAATCTGTAATTTCCCTTCAGTTCACACATTGTGTTTCCACCTAATTGTCAATTTCAGACATTCCTTACAAAATTATTGCAATCTATAGAAACAGATGTCAAGTAGAACAATAAAACAATATCATTATTGATGTAGATTTCCTCTGGACAAGATTCTGAGCATGTTCATTGAAGATAATTAAATAGATCGATGATTATAATATGATGTCCTCTGGACACAAGCAACAGCATCACAATGTTGTTAATATTGTGGTACAAACCCCAAGCCATTTTGACTGCTTAAAACAAAATTGTGATGTCTTAATTTAAGTTGTGAAAAGATTTTTCATGGTAAATTTTCCCCTCAGCCTCAGAGAAAGGATTTCTTCACAATCTCCCTCAACTTCCCATACCACCACTTTGGCATACAAAGTCTCTGGACCCTACCTCAACACAAATACTTGAGATTTTCTGAGGCCTTTTGTCTGCTCATCCACTGGTTCTCTTACCAGTTAGATTTGCCAGTCTTCTGCAGAAATCAGCAAATATATGACTTTTTCAAACAAAGGAATTGATCTCAGTACTTCATGTATTCTTCTGTGAGGCAGTTTTCAATTAAGTCACAGAAAGTCCTTGACACTTAATGAAGTAATAAAAACTTGTGCTCCAGAACCTATCATAGCAGTGAAACTGCCAGAAAAAGAGCCAAGGGTCAAATGTTCTAAAAGTAATAGACACCTCCAGAAGTGACCTTTTGATATGTTTGATAATATCCTTACCATTCTGCAGGCACCCAATCACCTCTGGCTGTCAGGTCATGGTGGGTTAATTGGGAGTTTTCTGTCCACACTTACAGAAACTGTAATGATTGTCTCCAAGTATGTTCCACTTGCTGTATCTTTTACTGCCTACAGTACTGTTCTACCAACGTATACCTCTGTATGATATAATTATTTAATATAAAAGAGCAGACTCCAAAGACACTGTCCAAACACTAACCCCATTGCAAAAACTTAAGTATATCACTGCTTCTTGCTTGCCAAGGCAACAGGCTTCTCAAAAATACCTTAGGCAGGCAGAAATCTTGAACATCTCATTCGTGGCCAGTTGTTTGACGGTTGTTTACATTTGGCTGGATAAGGCACTCTCAGGACTGAGTGCACTGCACTGAAGTTTTCCAATGAAGTGACACACTTAAAATGTGTCACTTAAATGCACACACTTAATTCCCTTTTACAGCCGTATGGATGCTGATTTGTCCATTCAATTTGAGCGAACTATTACATTTTTAAAAACTCAAGTGTCCAGAACCATATCAGCCTGGCAAGTTAGTTAGCTTGTCATGCCTGTTTCTTATCAGGTAAAGCCACTTAACTGGCATTATCTGGAACCAGTGTTTGTGTTTAAACCAAGTCATGAGAGCAGCAGATAGTGCAACCAAATGGAAAACATGCAGTAAGAGCTCATGCTTTGCACCCTGGGCTACTGTAAGCCTACAAAAATGAATGAACTTTCATATGTCTACACCAGCGCAGCCCACTCTGTGATAAGGGCTGTTTTTCTTATTAGCTTCTAAGACTGTAGCCTCAAGAGTTTGCTCATCTCACACCCCATGACTGAAATGAGGAAGCAGTCACACCTATCCTTTTACCTAACATGGGATTTTAAGTAAACTTTAAAGTACAAAGCTGAAAGTACATAAATTAAGAAAGAGCTAAAATTGCCCCAAGATCCATTTTCTCAAAAATCTAACTTTCAAATCCAATCTTACAATTCTCTGGCAAAAGACTTTGGCTGGGTCAGACCAACAGTTCTACCTACCATGGCTACCAGTAGGGTAGTGACAGAGGCATCTGTGGCAAAATGTGATTGCTTAGGGAATATCACAATACAGACAGTACTGTAATTGTAATACCCAAACACAGTTCTCCACCTGGCTTCTAAGTCAGAATGGTAGCACTTATTTTACACTGGTTTACACAACTACCCCACATGCAAAGGCAGGGACAAACCAAGTCCTCAGCTACCAAACAACAACAAAGCCTAAGCAATGTGTTTTCCACTGCTGAATAAACTCAGACCCACAGCAACAGGTCTGGTCACATCAATGTTTGTCCTGAGAGGATGTTCCCAAGGAGCTTTTCATGTTCAGCACTCACCCAAATGAATAATGAACACTTTCACCCTATGTTGTGAAAGCTGAACATTATCAGTCAGGCCCTAAGACAGTAAGATAGAACAGCAAGAGATCCTGTTCCACATTTGAGTTTATTATTTGCAAGCAGAGCAAAATGCAGCTGTAATTCTCTCTCAGTTGAAAGGGGAAAAATAAGCAAACAAAGGAAGTTATGCTTATCTCACTCACAAGACTTGACAGAACAAAACAAGAAAACTCTTTCTCTAAATGAACACCAACTTGAATACCACCCTAAACATACCGAAAAAAAACCCCATGCACTACTATAAAAACACAGTCTAGATCTAATATAAAATCACAGCCATTAAAGTTTCTGATATGATTTTTGCACTAGTCCTAGAACAACCGAGATATGAAATGTATCAAACAAGTGACAAAATGGAGGTTACTGCATTTTAAACCACTACAATCTGTATTTTAGGAAAATAATCTGCTGTGCTAAAGCTGAAAGGTCTGCACTGTTCATCCTATCAGGGGAAGCAATCAGTAGCAGTGGCTTGTATACGCAAAAAATAGTTTCTCTCTGTTGACAGTATCATCTCTTTCAATCTTGATGTTAAACCACACATATTTTTACTGAAAACAGAAATAATATTTTCTGTCATTGTCTTGGCTGGCACCTGCTCCGGCTCTTAACCCAGAGTTCACCAAGTGTGTGCAGTCCTAAGGACTTCAGCGTACTTTAGTAGAACAATGAGACAAAGAAACATTATTGCTTGGCTCTGCTAGAGGTAACTAACCTCTACCTTCAGGTGACAGAAAGAATATATAAAAAGCACATACTATGTTTATAACACCAGAACATGTACACAAAAAGAAGCAACAAGGGGAAGGGTTTTAATTAGATGTCAGAGGGTAGAGGTTTTAGCACTTCACAGACACTTATCTGATGGAAGCAATGCCAATGTTATATGATGCAGTCATGCACTTGTTCTAACTGTCTCCAAAGCCACTGCTGTGGCTGGTCCCATCACTGGTACCAATAGATTAAAAAAAAAAAATTAAACAAAATCAAAATGGCAAATTGCAGTGACTGCAAAAATGAAGCCTTTAATACATTTCACTTTGCAGTCATAAGAAAAGATAAAAAGGGAAAGAAACAGATGAGGAAAGATGCTGAACTCAGAAAAGGTGAAAGGAAGTTATTTCATACGAGCTATTTGTGAGCTGTTGTTGGATTTGGGGAAGTAAATGGAAACCTGACTTTCATCCCAAAAAAAAGAATAAATTATAAGACTTTGTCCAGCTAAATCCTAATTAAAGGTGTATTTGACTGAAAATACCTTAAGATATAACAGATGTTAACTGAAATCACCCTGCTTAAAATGTTGGACAAGTCATATTTAGCCTTAATACACCATATTACAAACAGAAAATCAAGAAAAAAGGACTGGCCATCAATGATGACCATCTGCATAATGTCACCAGGCAAAAGGAATATTTATTTTAAGAAGAAATGTAATTTAATTTTCTCAAATATTTTAGTCAGGGAAACTTTTACATAACCCACAAAACTTATTAGAGTACCAGGCTAATTTACAAGATAAAAAATAGTCTACAAAATAAAATCTACATTGGGATAATATATTTAGGCAAATGATGTTAAAATATGCCAAATAGTCTTGATTTATTGTGTGAAATGGACTTTGTTATATCTAACAACAACTTTAGGCAAAAAGAGGTAGATTTATTTTATGAAATAGACTATCACAAGTTGTCTGACACAGCTAGGAGAAGCACCATTAGTCTTCATCTTCGGTTTAAATGGAGAAAGAGTACTAAATGTTTATCAATGTAAATAGCAAAGACAAATTTTTTAAAAAAGGAGAAAATATGCTTATTCATAGGGAAAGGTGGCATTTGAAAGACATAGCTCTCTTCACTTAGCCCATATTTTGAGCTGGAAATAAAACAAATTAATTTAACATTAATATCATCTAAGTTAATACATTTGTCCCAGTGATATGACTGCACATTTGGAACACATGAGTAATCAAGTAAGCTGAATTTTAAAAGAAAACAGATGGATTATAGAGATTACACAACTACATGTAAGTAAAATAGAGAAAAAGCAGAAATTTTATTTTAAAGTGGGAGAGAGTGTTTAAAGGCACCAAACAGCAAACACATATTGCCCAGAGAATTCTGATTCCAATTACATCAGCAGAAAAGGCTACAGAAAAGTTTCAGTTTTTCCTCATATTTCCAGGCAAAGAGATTGAAAACAAAATGAACAACACACGCACAACCTCACAGCAATGCAGGCTGACCTTCTCTGCCTGGGCTAAGGCAAAGATTATTTTAAACCAAGAGCTGAATAGCCATACAAATAGCCTCACAAATTTCCTGAAACACAACCAGGGACTAATGATGTAGGAAATCCTGTTTGGCTTGAACTGCTGCCCTAAGACCAGGACAGTCCAGCTGAACAAAAAGTTTAAGTCATTAGGTTCAAGGGTCATTAGCTTCTTGTCCTCTAAGACACCCACTTAAAACTGCACACACAATGAAACATATCAGAATCAGAAAGCAAAGCAATTATTTTCTTTTTACACAAAATAAAATAAAATAAAATAAAATAAAATAAAATAAAATTTTTAAAATGTTGTAAACTGCCTCTATTTTCCAGGGCTATGCTTTTAATTATGTTACATTTCAAGAGCCACCACAGCTAAAAGGCAGAGCACACCACTTTTATTTCTAAATCAAAAGACAAAAGACTGCATTCAGGATAAACACTGGAGGTTTCCGGAGGTATATACCTGCCTCCTTGTAAAAAATAGGTTCTAAAATTCTATAGAGGCATATTGAACCATGATAAAAAGATATTGTTTACATTTTCAAGCCCAGACAAGTTTTTTCTCAAATAGCAAACATGCACACACACATACACGTGCTTAACTCCAAGCACAAGTTTGACAGACCTGTGTGCTCCTTCTGTCAGAGATGAAGCTAAGCAATACCTGTGTAATCATATGCGGACCTGGAGCTTGACATATCTATTACCAAATTTCAGGAAGCATCCATTATCTAGGATGTGACTTCTGCGATCCAAGCTTAATCCTATCTCCTCTAACACCTGTGAAAACTTCCAGCTTGCCGTGACAGCTTCCGCATACGGAACAGATTTCCAGCTCACACAACTGAAGCATGTTAAAATTGCATGGCACTAACTTCTGTTCCACTTAATATCAAAATAAAGGGATACTCTCCTTGAAATGGGAAGAGGGTGCAAACAGTGGCACCTTGTGTCAAGCAGGCCAAACAATGGGATACTAACCAAGACACATAGGTATAAAATTAATTTCCAAGAGACAGATCTCCAGAGGAAAAAAAAGTTCTCACTGCCTGTTTTCAAACTTCCCTTTCAACCTTTACATTAGACCTACACACATAGGGGCCTACCCTCTTTAATCCACAACAACTCTTTTATTTTTTCTGGAAAGCTGGGGATTTCATATTCTGTGAAGCTTAGATATAATACTGACTGAAGGCAAAACACGGAATCCATTCCGAGAGATCCTCAAGGACATTGCAGCAGTTCTGAGTCACTTCGTGACGACAAAATTAACCAAAAAAAGAAGACAACTGCCCCCAGGTCAGCAGAGAAGGACCTACCTGTCTGTTGTGTCCTTTTGGGGTAAGTCTTGCTGCGACTTCTTTCAATGCTCTGGTCAGGCCGCGGGAGATGCACAGAAGGGTCTCTGGTCATTCGCAAAGATGTTTTGCCACTTCAAAACACAATAAAATCATGAGAAAACACTAGGGAAAGTTATCCAACAGGATCCTTAGACTGACAAAAAAATTCTATTAACTTGTCATCCCATGTCTGGTTCTCCTGTTGAGCAGCACTACCCTGAATTTGTTTTGAATCAGTCACTGGCAAAATCATCAACAGATTGTGCCAACCGCTCCTATATTTGTCATTTCCAAGTGGAGATACACCACTAAAACAAAATGGGATTTTTTAGGAATAGCTTAAGGTAGCATGACCTTTTCTAACCTAGAATATTCTAACATACAACTTTCTTAAGGCACATTATTTCTTCCTGAACATTTTCTCTAAGTTTCCTCCCAGGAAAACATGTTTAATATTATTTACACATATTTAATATTGTTCAGTTCCAGTCAGTCAGGAGCTACTCCTCTGGCATGTGGAATGCAGCCTAAAAGACTGCAAAACAAACTGCAATAAAGGACTCTTACCAGCACAGCCCCAGATGACAACAAATTGAGTAAAAGTCTTGATTCTTGTTTACAGGAAGGGTTTTCTTCATTGTGCAATTGGAGTAAATTATTAAGTTTAAATAAATTCTTTTATACTCATTTTAATGTTCCTCTCAGTGTTACTAAACAGAATATAGTGGTCATAACAAAAATGTAAAATTAATTTTCCTCCCCAAAACTTCATATTTGTTCCTGGACACTTAATACATAAGAGAAGTAATTGCCACTATTAATTCCTGAAGTTTGATCATTTTGAAGTAAAAGCTATTGTACTAGAAAGTACTAAGCAACTATACAGGAATTACTTATGTAGATTTCCTGAATTACGTGAATAGACTCCATGAGATACTGATAATTTTTTCACCAATAGCCCTTCAGAGATAGTCAGCACTGCAGAATTTTAATATTTTCAAAATTATAAAAGAATTGAAGGACAAAAAAAAAAAATCTGTATTCCTAACCCTACATCACAGTAATGCGGGTTTTTTTTTTATGTACTTAGTTTAAAGCATGCTCCCAAGTTACCCAGAAAACTTTTCTGTTCAACTTTTAAGTTTGGCAACCATGACAGTCCTGCAAATTCCAGAAGCAACTTTAACCAAATATCTGGGAATAGGACCTTCCACCCCCACTAAGACCTCCAAAACATCCCATCTTAAGACAAGAAAATTGCCTTCCTGAAAATTGTCTGACACACAATGAGAAGTACCTAGAATATTTAACAAAAAAGAAAAAACAACAACAAAACCAAAAACAAACAAATGAAACAAAACAACATTTTTAAAAAAACACAACACCACAAGATAAATTAAAATATGGTCCCCCACTTACACAGAAAAATAGTGGGATTATGGTTTCTGCTCCCAGCTAATTATGTGTACAGATACACAACACTGTCACTGCTTTTGGTGCTACAATGGAGACCAAAGACAAAAAGGCAAGACAACCAAAATTGTCAGTTATGACCATCATCCCAACATGGCAGGCCTGATCACATATCACTTATGACATTTATTAAAACAGGAAGACGAACTGAACTGCACCACCAACAGCACAGCTCAAACATAGTTAACTGCTTCATGGCATGTTTATTTAATTGATTGGAAAGTTCTTGCCAGTAAAAGCTTTCTCCTGCCCAGTATCAGTGCCTTGCTCCAGTCTGTTGAAGTGGACCAACAGAAAAAACTCATCCACAGTACTCTGCCAGGAATCAGTGAACTCCTACCCATTATTAGAGGGGGTAATGCAGGCCAGGATCTACTACAAACATGAAAGGCAGGACAATCATTGCCCTGTTACCTACAGCAAGGAGAATTAGAATCAGTCTGGATTAGGAAATCGGCAAAGTGAAAAAGATCTGCCCAGCTAATGATTATCAACCTTACTCAATATGATCCATTTATTTCTTGCATGACAGTGGAAACAGTGTTCCTTATCCATCCTCAATTTCAAGGGTTTATAGCCTTGAACCTCTTTCAAGGTTTAGCACCTTGAACATTCATCCAGTGTTGTCACCTATTCAAGTCAGAAAGATACACCATCATTTTGGTATTCCCCAACTGTCAGGAAAACCTCTTTAGGACATGAACATAATTTCAGGACCTATAAGGAGATAATGATTTAAAGAGCTGTCAAAGTTGCTCCCACTTTGAATACAGACTACAGCAAGCCTCAACGATTTCTGGGGATTTGGAGAAGAAACATTTGTCCCAAAACTGCCAGGCTTCCAAAGGGAGTCTGTTAAAATGTCCCTGATTCATCTTTCGTCTTCAGAACTATACTAGGTCATACTCTGGGTGGTGGTTTTCTTTCATTGGAAGGAAAGAGGAAAAAAGGAATGAAGAAGGAAAGAAGTGAAGTTTAAACAATCAAAAAAATTCACCTGTACCGATGTTTATAACCTATGGATCCAAATTTGCTGACTTTTCTTGACAGAGAGCTTGATTCATTCTCTGGCACCCTGTGTAGTTTGAAAAATAAAATAAGAGAGTAAGTTGCATAGATATGTCTGAATTATAGTCCCCTTCCCAAGTCAAGAAAAAAGAAAACAAATTTGGGCTCAAAAAATTTTTTTTTTCTGCAAGTTCCTCTTCATCACTACCTCTGGACAGATTCTTAGGGGGTTGAGTCTCCCAAAGCCACCTGTTTGTCCCCCCTATTTTGACTACACATCTCTTTATTTCAGAGTCAAGTGTAAATTGCTGGCATCAGCAGCCTTTTACCTAATTTTGGGTAAACCCACCCTGCCATAGTAAACCCACCCTGCCATAGTAATGAGACTGCAGGAGGGATTCTCAGTTCACTCATTTACAGCACTGCTAAAGGCCGCTCGGAGGATTCCATCCACCAATTCCCAGTTAAACACCTTAGCACATTTTTCTTGGTGTTTTTTGCAACAGTAAAATCAAGTGCTTTGAGATATGCAGTACTGAGAAGATCAGTAAGTAAGCAAAATGTTATGTAAATTCAATTAATTTCTATTAAAAATATATATATATTTCTGTGCACTGTAGAAAATAGTAATGTCTGAATTCTAAAGGCCTCCCTCAAGCCAATGCTGCTACAGAAAATCTGATGATTAAATACATCAAAATCTATATGGCAAGTTAAATCCTGCCATATTTCTGATAAAGCCTACTACATGCAACCTGAAGTACAGTTTAGAAAAGAATACTAAGACAAAAGAACTACTGAACTACCCAATTTTAAAAACATTGTTTCACATCACTGTAAGAAAAGGTGTTGGCTTTTAAAAGCATTCTATAACCAAAAGCATAATATGTTTCCAGGCAGCCAGCCTTTGTTACACCACTCTGCAGGTATAACAAGGCTCCCACTCAGTGTAATAACCTATGGAAAGCACAACCTAACTTCTGCATCACTCACCTGAAAAATGTATGATGCTCTACACAGCATTTCCAGAGATGTTTGCATGTGACCTTGTTACGGGCTTCAAAAAAGAAGGAAGTTTCATTGCACTGAAGATAAAACAAAAAAAAAGGAATGTTCTTATGGGGGATTCTGCCATTGGAGTGAATCTCACTTACTGAACACAAGAACCAGCCATCCCATGTCAGTCCATGCAAGAAAAGAAATCAGCACAAAGAAAAGCAGGTTCTATAATTCTGTAGAATTCTTTATTTTTGTTTCTTTTTGAAAATCACAGAAAAGAGATTATTGAAACACTTTTGTTCCTTCATTCTTGCTCATACCCATCAGCTTCTTTCCTAAATAAAACACACAAGTTTTTTGGGTTTGTTTGTTTTTTTTTCAAAAATTATATTTCTGATGTTTTCTGAAATGGCAGCTCAGATGTCAATCAAAAATATTCTGGTTAACAGTATTTTAAAAAGCAAGAATAGGTGAAAGAAAGAAAGGAGCTCAAGATCTGCTATAAACTAATATGAAGCAATGACAGAGGAGACATACAGAACAGGCCAAGGTAAACCTGAGGAAAAAAAAACTGAAAAAGGGAAGGGTTTTCTTTTTTTAAAAAGCTAACTTCATAAAAATTTAAAATGCTAGGAAAAAGTTGGAAGCCTTAAAATCCAATTTAAAATCTCTTAAGGAAGACAGCACGAGCCAGAACAAAAGCATACACAAAGCTTAAAAGCTGACCTCTGGAAACTGGCAAAGAGAAGTGGGACATATACAAACTATTAAATACTTCCAACAGAAAAGGAGAAGCAACAGACACATCACAGTGCTTGTTTTCAACAAGCTAAACACTCATATGTGTTCACAAAAATACCCTTCCATCTATTTTTCACTTGGTGAACTCAAGCATTTGGTGTTTCAGCTGTGATTTGCACAAAGAATGAGCAATCCCAGTGATGTCAGTGTGAGAGCTCAACACGGCATGACACCCCCTGTAACAAAACTGAGTCTCAAACCATTCAGCGAGGTGTGAGTTACAAAGGAAGTGTGATTCACACCACCTTCAGAAGCTGATTTTGAACAATCTATGCCCTTGCCGTTACTTACACTTCCTCAGTGCCATGCACACACAAGTAAAGAGCTCAGGCAAGTTTTTCTCTCTCTCATTTATTATTGTTTATTATAATCTGCAAGCACCTTGCAAACTGTGAATTAATTCTCTATGTTCTCTAGAATTCAAAATTTCACCTATAACAAAAATCCAGTTATATCCCTATTAACAGCTGTCAAGCAGCCTCACAAAACCACAAATTACCTTCTCAAGCAGCTTTTGCTTCACCTTGAAACAAATAACAGTAAAACAACAGAATTTTGCACCTGTGGTTAGAATGATAGAGATTTCATTTCCTGACCAAAAAAAAATTAAATTATATATGAACTTATTTTCTCCCATGCCTTATTTTAGTTAAATGTCTGGCTGGAACAGTGCCATGGAACAGGAAAGGAATTAAAATAATTCTCTGGTCTCCCATCAAAAGCACATTTTACTCTCCGTGGCAAGAACGAAGAATACAGGCAGTACAGTAAGACAATGACCACCAAGAATGTTGAAATCTAGGATTCATCTGATACTGCTGTGTATATCATAAAATGACTTTGTAGTACATTGGTCCCATAAATATATTTTCTAAGTCCCTCAGGTTTGATAGGGATCATCATCTCTCTGCAGGATTCACAAGTAGTTTAACTTACAGACAAAATAAATTTAATTCATGAAAAGTAAAGGCTTCCTGAAAAATCTTGAAAATAATCAAGGAGAAAAATCAATTTATTTTGGACTCTTCCAGAGTAACAACATTGCTCTTTCTCCTCTGATGGCTAGAAACAAGAGTCTACCCACTGAAAAATCATAACACATTTTACATTGTAAAACTTGTAAAGAAAACATGTAAAATGGTGCTTTGCATTTGCTTACTTTGCATATAGCAGAAAAGTAGCTTTGGATTTCATTATTTGATTTAAATTACAATTTCTATATTAGACTGTCATCTAATATGATTTCATATAAAGCCATACAACTACACTCATCTTCAAAAGGGTAATATCAAACTGGATTGTAGTATTGCAAATTTGATGCAATATGATGAGTCAGTTTAGCTTCTGTTAGGAAACAACTCAGTGACTCACTTTTAATATGCAGGGTCTTGCTCCTTCTTTGTTCACTCCTACTTTTAGGCAAAGAATCCTCTGTTGCAGTTAAATTTATTTAATTACATAATCTCAAAGGAAGGAGTTTCTGGTATGTGGGAAGGGAGAGAAGACAGGCATGACTTTTTTTTTTTCCCCTTTTCTTTTTTTTTTTTTTTTTTTTTTTTTTTTTTGTTGAGAATTTTTAAAATAAGATGTTTCTGACATATCTTATTGTTAGACCAGTTTGAATGCCACTGGCATTGAATGACAGTGCGAAAAAGCTGAGGAAAAAGTTCCATTCCTGTTGGGGATGTCCATTTTGTCTTCTATAAGTTGTCTTCCTTAAGTTTTAGAACTTTTCCATACACAGAACAGACCACAGGAAGACACATTAAAATCAACAAGTGACAATAAGAGGGGCCATATAGTTATACTGCCATATCATAGAAAGAGCTGACCAGCAAAAATAACTGATTCCATCATATGAAGGCATTATTTTCCAAGAAGAAAGTTCACCCTAGCTGGTAAGAAAAATGTTGATGATGCTGAAACATCTAAACTTAGTATTGAGCAATCAATGGCACTCAGGGAGGGCAAAAAATAAAAGGGCTAGTGGTGGGGAGGCGAGAGGAGGATAATAACCCTAAAGATCCAATTTACCGAAACTTTATGGAATTCAGATCTGGAAAATGAAACAATTGCCTAAAAGTCATGGGACAGACTAACAAGCCTTCTGATAACACACCCAGGCTTCTTTATTTGAATTTGAAGGAAAACCACATCTCTGAAAACTATGGCCTGAAAACTGATGCTTGCTATAACTCAAAAGCACAATTAAATTGTGCTATTGAGAGGAAAAAATGTGCTATAGAGAGGAAAAGGAGCCTAAAACACTCATCCTCATCAAAGGGGAAACAATTCATAATTCTTTCACCATTTCTCAGCTTATCTGGGAAGGATTCTGTAACTTACTGCAACCAAGTTCAGTATGACACTGCTTATAGCACAGGCAGGTTTAGGACTTCCTCTAGGCCTATTGAAGGCTGGTAAGAGTAGTGATTACCCTGGCAATTTATAAATGACTATATAAAAAGTAAGCAGTACTGAAAACAGCAATACCATTCTGGATTAACATTTCTCCCCCAAGGGAATTAATTGATTTGTATAACAGGCCTTACCTGTTAAGACCATGACCTTTTGTTCCCAATAAAAGACAACATTTTTAGCATTTTGAACATCACAATTTCCTACAGGTAGTTCATGTTAGCTGGGTGTTTTGCTTATTATTCTCATATATCTGAACCAAAAGAAACAAAGATCTATTGTAATTTTACTAATGATTTATAGGAAATGACACTTCCAAAGTCATTCAGTGCTCTTTGGTGTGTCACAAGGTTCTCCTGGCTACTCATTCTGCTGCATTCAGAGTGCCCAGTGTACTAAAGGTGAGGCACTGTAAATCATGAACAGCTCCCAGAGCAGTCCTGGCTGTCTGCACACTCTGGAGATCTCTCATTGAACCATGTTGGTGTTTGCCTGTTCTTTCAGGAAGTCCATTTTGCTGATCAAACAAGTAGAAAACCACTTATTTTTGTATGGTTATTTTCAATCCCTTCTGCGACTTGCAGGAGCAAGGGAGGGGTAGGATGGTGGACCAGAGGCTGCAAAAGGACCCTTGCAGCAATAACCAAGCTGTGGGACTGCCTTGTCCTGACAAAGGCACAAACCCTTTGTCAAAAAATGTGAGGACAAGCATTACATGTCCCTCTCCTTTTAGGTGCTTTGAGAACTTGTCCTGCAGTCTCCAAAACATTCTACAGCTGATACTGCTAAAACCTGAGCCCCATTTTTAGCCACAGGAGGCAAGAGAGACTAGCACAGTGGGTGCAGATAACTTGTCTACATTACAAACTTATACACAGATGGACAATGAAGCCCTTCCCTGTTTTATGCTGGCTCCCAGAGCAGCCAGAAGACTGATCTGGCAGGGCCCTTAAAACCTCCACTAGAGAGCTGGGAATTGGAACAGTGCTACACCCTAATACCCACACCTCTCAGGTGAAAGATTAAAAGCGTCTAACAAAACCCTTCAAAGGAGACAAGTCAGAAGGGTCATTGCTCTGCCTAAGCACAGAACAGCTCTGGGACTAGTACACAAGTTCAGGAGGGCTTGGCAAACAGCTTCCTGCTTGCTTTGCCTCACCAGCCTGATTACACAGCTTTCAGGCTCAGAGATGCTTTGCGCCCAGCTAGCTCAGTTCCTAGGCAGAGCAAGCTCAGCTCCACCTGGAAGAGAAGACACACACGTAAAATGACGGCTCTTCTCTCTGAGGGCCAGAAGATCCCTTGTTCTTGGAGTTCATGGATTACTCCCAGGATAAGAGGCCATTGTCAGTAGATTTACACCCATTCCAGGGCGAACTGAACCTGCTCACAGAGCAAAAATTATTCAAGAACCACTGATTCAGAGCAGGCTTTAGCAACCTTAATTTACAAGACATTTATGGGCTCCCAGCAATGAAGGATCAGAAAATGAAGAAGAAAACCCCAAAACCACATTAGGAGCCATGCCAGTACACACACCACTCCTCCCAGGCGCAGTGAGTGCTAATGCTAGATAAGGAGGGATCTTGCCCCGTTACAGGGCACACTGCACTTACACATACGACACCTGCACATGTAACAGATTTATTAACACTGGCTCTGAAGCTACTGCTTCAGAACATTATTCTTTGCCAGGTTAGGCACATACCTGGGTACCATCAGCTCTAAATTACAATAGCAAGTATTCTGTCTTTATATATAGACATATGCAGACAAATCACAGTTAATGTAGCAAACAATGTACCATTACTGGTTACACAAGGTCAGTCTTTAGGAAAATTATACCAAGTTGGCAATTAAAACTGATAAAGATGTGCCACTTGCATGTCAACATTGAAACAAACATATCTCAGCTTTACAGCAACTACAGCAATTACAGCAATTCAAAAACACTAAGGAAGAATTAGAAAAAAAGAAAGATGACAGTATCACCTTAGTGTTAGTGAATTTAATTTTATGCAGGCCTTGAACAGATCTTACAGTCCTTCTATGATGGCTCAGAAAGCAATTAAGAAAAGACAAGAAAATCCCCCAAGCAACCAAAACAAGCCAAAACTGTTTAATATGACATATTAATATCACTGGGCTTGCTCACCTCCACCCTTTACTATCACTCTGAGTTAAGTCGATGCAAATGCAAATGTAAATGATGTAAAGGTCATTTGTAATTCTTAAATCATAAAAAAGATCAAAATGCTATATTTGTCTGGAAACTACACATACAATAAATTGGACATATTTATGAGTAACATATCTTCAAGTCCTGTTCAGTCTTCCTAAGAAGCTGCAGGAACAATAAATAAAATTAGAAGTTCCTGACTGGAATTTGTAACTCAAGACAGAATACAGCATTTGATAGGAAAAGAAGGGGTATAGCTGAACCACCTTATTAACATAATTATTTTTCAGACTAATGATACTTATGAAAAGCAGATTAAAAAAGACAAAGCACATTTACAGTGTTTTCTGGACAATTTAAAATAACACAAAAAATTGTATTTATACAAGTTTCAGCCACACAAAATGGGGATGATTATGTATTTTGGACTTGCATCAGTGGTTGGTATTTTTCCTGAAGAGCCATGACCAATTTCGCCTTGTGAATTCATCTGATTATGGAAGACTGCAGAGGAACACACAAAAATGTGGAAATCATTTTTAACTGCACAGATTGGGAGATTGTTCTGACCCAAAAATACCCAAATTTCAAGATCTCTTGAAATAAAAATTTGGGAATTCAAAAAGTCCTTTCTCTTTCAGGAAAAATTATGAAAGCAAGTGTTTTGCACGCTGAATACTTTCTGTTTTGTGAAACAGGAAAAGTAAGAACAGAAGTTTTGCATAAACCCTGCTAAGGAGTGAAATCATTCACGTGCATGTTCAGACACAGAGCAACTACAGTAAAAGGCTCGGTTACACCAAACAGCACTGGGGTGCAGGGAACGGCACAAAAGTACTTGGTACCTACAGGCAAAAAAACTCCACGTCTCTCATTCCTGCCTACTATCACATTTGCATTCCCAGCCTACACAGTCTATCAAAGCGTGTTTTTCTCTGTTTCCTTTCATGTCCCTAGCTGAGAGAGAAATCTAGGAAGCAGGCCATGCACCTCACATGGGGCAACACAGGAGGCATTCTGGGCACCCCTTACACTACTCACTTCCACACAGAGCACCCATTGTGACCAAACTCTGTTTTGCTGGTGGAGAGGGGAGGGCTTTGGCAGCCACCTGTGTTACTGGATTGTTTCCAGCAAGGTTGCTCCACAGGCATGCTGTCAGGAACTGCGCACATGCATTAGATGAATTTCTCAGCTTACTGAGAAATAAACCTCTTTAATCTTCAAAAATTATTGGCCATTTTATGTCACGTTCAGGGAACGTGAACATGTGAAGCTCTTGCAAGGGAAGGGTTCCTAATTTCATGCTGATGCTTAGAGGTGCCAGGGTGGACCTAACACCTTCATAGCTCAGAATTCACAGCATGGATTCATGCAGGGGGACAATTAAATGCTGATTCAATTATTAACACCACTGAAAAAGAGCTTCAGTCTCACATGTCCATGGATGGCCAGATATTAAAGGCAATATTTTGTTTATGAAGGGGCAATTGAAATGACCTAAGGGAGAAAACATGTAATACAAGCAAGGTAGTGAAAGATAGAACTAAAATACTGATGGTCATGCTTGTACACAATAGCAACAGGTGTGCAGGAAAAAAATATAAGGCAGCTAAATATACAGGAATTATTCTCATGGAAGATATATGAAGAAGTGCAAGAGGTTACATTACAAAAGAGAAAAGCCAAAGCAGCTTACTATAAGGCACTAAGCAATAACATCTGCTCAGTAAGCATCAAGTTTATGAAAAGTGAAGCAATGTGAACAAGAAAATGAGCAGTCATAGGTTTGGCTGATACAAACACCACAGTGGGGTTCAGCTAGTCTGAAGGCACAGACTTGTACATTACTGTCATCTGTCAAGAAGATCAGATGTTCATTTCCATCCACCTAGTGGGAAATACACAGATTCTTCTGGCATGGTTGAAAAAATTTCACACCAACCTCAGCAAGCAACAACAAAGAAGTTACCACAAGTAATTCCATCTGGGGAAGAGCTCTGCTGCTACTAAAGGCACCAACAGCTTCCTTTTTATGAGCAGTGAAAGGTGACAGTCAGTGTGGATAAGGGTAGCTAGTTTGTGTGGAAACATGGATGAAAACCCACACTGCAGAGAGTTTTTACAACATATGGAAACATGATTCACACAAAGCACTCAGTTCACCCAGAAATAATCTGCTCTGTTACATGGAATTAGGTCCTTCACTTTATGCCATAAAGTTCAATTTAAAGACATGGGAAAGGTCCCATTATTTTTACTCCTCCTGAATCTCTTCTGGAGCTCTCTACAACTAACTGGAACAGATATTCCAGACTTGGTATACCACATCTGATACAAGGAAAGTATTAATTCCCTGGGGTGTAAAATGATATTACAGGAGGCAGGATGGAGTGAAAACGGCATATTTACTCTCCTGTAATATACTCATGTGTCACATGGGAGGACAAAGTGATAGCATTTATTAAAAAAATACAAGACGAATAAAAAAAATTTGTGAATCAGATTTTTTAGGAGTATTGAAACATACATATATACTGATGAGCTTTTCCTCTTCTGTGTAGAACAGCATAAATTTCTATGACAACTTTAATCCAGAGACTGAGGTTACTGTCTGCTTATTCCAATATATAATTTTGTTCAAAGTACCCCAGATTGTTAAAAAAAGGAAAAAGAAGATGTCTCTGTGCCATTTTGGCCCTTCATGAACTTGTTAGGATATGAAGTAGAAATACTTCAGATTATTATTAGTTGCAAAGGTGAATTTACACACCCCTGTACTTACTGTTCTACCCAACAATTTCCTAGAAATACCTGTCAAGGCTTGAAACTACTGTGTTCTGTTAAAATGTTTGCCTTATGATCACAACGGTAAGCGTTCACCAGCCATCAATATTCACAGCCTCAACTTTTCCAAAACCTTCCAGGTTTTCTACCCAGCATGTTAAGGCTTTGCAATTCCACATGGTTGAAAGAAAACTGTGGAAATGTGGCATCAAAGAGAAGCTACAGCTTCATTTCCAAGCAATTCACTCCAAGTCAAACTCAGACTAGTTTATACATGAACTATCACTCACCCTTTACATGAAACATGGTGAAAAGTTTTCCCAGCCTTCCCCCAGCCTTTAAATAACGCTCCTATTTCAACAAACACACCTTCAGAAATAAAATTCCCACAGATTACCACACCAAATATAAACAAGCCACTTGGGGGTAACAAAACAGAGATTTGCCAAGACATCTGCAAAGACACCAGAAACTCTGTCCACAACAGGAGCAAGACAAATATCCTCACGGAAAAACCATGGATGAGACTGACAACCATTACAAAGATGAACAAAAACACATAGATAAACAGTAAAGGAGATTTTTGCCAGCATGTTAATACTACTTAAAACTATTAACTATCAGTCCTTATGAAACTATAAACTTTCATGTTCTAAAAAGATATACAAAGTATTTTCAAAAAATATATCAGCTAACTAAATTTGTAACTAAACCAGACAGCAAAACCCACAAACTGATGGCAAATATGTTTTTTATTGCATGTCATTATTTTTTCCTACATTCTCAACAGTCTCCTCCTCTCCCTACTCCACATGTTTTGTAGGGGATAATTTTTTTTTTTAAAATTTTACTTACTGCATCTTAGAACCTCCTCTCTCCCTATCAGCCTGCTGTCCTTGCCCCACTGGAACCTACATTGCTTTCTCTCAAATAGTCTAAGTGCAAAGTGATGTTGAACTCTGACAAATGGGTTTCAAGCTATAAAACATGGCTGCCTGTTTTGTGCCTGACAGCTTTGTGAGGTTCCCTTCAGCTACATTTGGTTTCATACAGTAAATTTCAATAAAACCTATTAGACTTTCACAGACACACTAAATTTCCACCTTCATTAGACCTCTTTTTTTTTTTTTTTAATCTTTTCAGACCTAAATAAAAACTTACATCTTTTCCCAGGACTCGAAGTTCAAACTGTGTTTCCTTGAAGTGAACTTTCGTAATTCTAGGCCTGCAATATTGAGAAAGAAAGACAAACTGAACTCCATGACCTTTTAATTTCATGTGTAATAAGATATAAAGTTGTGTAAATTTGCAAGCAAAGACAAAAAAAAAAATTCACAGGTAGATTTATTTTTCAGGTATGCCCCAGATATCAGCAGACAATTAGGGATATGTAAATATTTCAGCATGAATATGGTAAAGGTGATCTACTGTTTTCAATACCTGGACTATCAAAGAATTAAAAATCTGCATCATCCAGAGAAATATTAAGAATTCTATGTGTACTTTGTTGATAATGCTATGATTAAACTTTCAAATAGATATCACAAATCGTAGACATCCATACAACACTGTTATTGTTTTAGTGCAGACTGCACATTTAAATAATACATACCAGAAATATTTTCCTACTTGTTTTTTATTCTTGTAGACAACAACTCCTACGGGTGTTAATCCTAAAAAGTATTCAGATTTGTTTTCACCCTAGAAAATAAAAATCTATGTCATTCATACAGTTGCAAGTAGAATCACAGTATTAGTGAGATCCAGTGAGAAATTAATCCCAGTGACTTGAATATACTGTTTCACTCTGTACAAACAGGAAAATAGTACTTGATTTATTTATGAAAGTTTCTATATGGAAACTTGTAGTTCTGGGGGAAAAGAGGCAAGAAAGAATGGCAATGAGGGAAAGAAAGGGAATTTTATGCTATGGTGAAAAACAAAAATACCTCTTTTTTTCCCCCCCTGTTTTCTTACTGAATTAATTATTAATTTTTGCTATTTGGCAAATGGCCAGAACTCAGAAACTGAACTCCTTATTGAGGCGTGAATGCAACAGACATATCAACTTCCAGCTGAAAGTAAATAGTGATTTTCTGACCTATCATACAACCACACAGCTGCCTTCTCCCTCCTAAAATAGTGTCAGCTGCTGCTGCCTCCAAGTGAAGTAGCTACTTTGGGAGAGTCAAGCTTCTTTTTTGTTGTTCAGAAAGGGCAATGGTATGCAGGGAACAGCCACATGCATCAACTCCTCTCAAGGAAACCATTCGTGAAGTCAGGATACAAATCTCAAACTGCACCAGGAGAGAACAGGGTGAAAGCCCTGCTGCTGAGTGGCAGAAGGTCCCCACCTCCCCAGTTTACAGTCAATAACCAAAACCAGAAGTGGCTTACAGCTGAAAGAGTGCAAGCCATAGTGCATGAGGTTAAAAGAAAGTCAGCTGGAAAAGCTCATCCACATGCCTACTTGAGGCAGTGAGGAAGAGCCCTGCAAGTCCAAACCAGAGGAACATGAGCAGCAGAATTATCAACTGTGAGAGGCACTGACTTGAGACACTGAAAAAATGTCCTGTGTGATTTCAGGGCTGACAAAGGTCAAGCACACCTGGCAAGCTCTGTCTGTGCTCCTCAGTGAATTAACTGCCAAAGGCAACTTTACTTTTAATACGACCAAAGGAGAAAAATAACTGCATCTCATTGCGTGTGCAGCTTCAGTCTCAAACGAGGGCTTCTGCTGCTGATGTAATTTAAGTAGGAACAATGATGTTCACAGGTTACCTAGGCAGGCATTTCATTGCACAATAAAGGCAAGTTATGAGGCAAAAAAAATTCCAGGCTGTACTAATTTAACATGATTTTGTTGGATCATGTTGGATCTTGTTCCAGTAACTCCCCATTTTTCCATTGGTGGGAGGGGAAAAAAGCCTGGGATATGAATATAATTAAGCCATGGTGTGCATTAAAAGGTACTTTATATTGCAGGCTACACATTTTTCAGAGGAAATACATATTTAATCTTGATTTTTTTATTTTCTTTCTAATTTTACAAAGTACTGACATCTAACTCAGTGAACTATCTATACTACAACTCCCCATTTGAACTCCTGATTTTCTTTTATTTAAAAAAAAAAAAAAAAAATACTGCCACAAGCAGAATAGTTCAAACAAGATAGAATGATGTTTCCACCAGGAGCACATAGCCTCCAGGTGATGACTTGGATCCAATCCCAACATACATACTGACAGACAAAAGAAATGGAGGGGTTTTCATAGCCAATACAGACAACTTGCAGTGCTGCATGATACAAGATGGGAAAAAGTGGAAACATACTCTGGATCTTTAGCAAAACCTTGACAACAAATATTTTTTAAAAATATTTTAAAAAACCAGATATGCGATTGCTAGTCTACCCTAATTTTTGCAAAGGTATTGAAAAGGTTTCAGAACACACTTGCTCTTATTTAAACTAAAATAATGTGCAAATTCTTCTGTCAAAGGTGATAACTCTCACTCATGTCTCCTGATGCTTGCACAAATTACTTCTTTTCTATCTGAATTGTTTATATCCAGAGTATAACTGACTGGTTTTTTTATAGGTGTAACACAATCACAGCATTTGATCTGAAAATCATTAGGCTTTTGTATGTATGAATAACTGAATCCTCTCTGTCTGTAAATGCGTGGTCCTTTGCATTTCTTGAGTAGTGTTCCCTTTTCAGTTATCCGGTGGCAACAAAACTAAGTACTGTTTCACACATTAGTGCAGTAATTGTTTTTCACAGTTAATACTTACATAAACAGGATGGAGATCCACTCCATACATTTCCAGAGATTTGGCCACACCTAAGTAGTTCACTTCTGCCTCAGCAGGAACTTGACCCCTGTAAAAACAATTATTTTTAAGAATCTTGTAATTACAATCAACACATCAAAATAGATCATAGTAATAAATATAGTTTTCTGGACACATGTGCAGCCCTTCTTACAAGTTTTTTAGACTCTCATGGTCTTTTCAACTCTGAACTTCTTATTCCAGGTAAGAATAGATCTCTAGTGGTCTCCTAGCACAGACATATATGCTATCATATATATGGTGTTTGCCTAATGCAGTGCCTTTTGCCTTTTCATTGCTGTCACAAACACACTTTGCACATTTAATTTTCAGGCTTCACTATGCAAAAAACTATTTTTCCCCAAATAATTACAATATTATTAATAAAGCAGGAATAGAATGACTGGTTGGGGTACTATTTCCCCATAGAAGCGCTGAAGCTCCTGAAAGCAAGGTTGATAACTTCAGAGAAATTATTACATTCTCCATAAAATCTCGCCTACAGTAAGTCACACCAGCTGGTAGCACCCAGGTCTGCTATGTTGAAAACAAGATTTGGAGTCTGTCTCATGAGATTAGCCATTTCAAAGATCCTGCCTGCCTTCCTAGCTACAGATATCAATCCATCAGTAAAAAGTACCACTGGCAGGAAAAAACTGGGAAAACTGGTGAGGGAAAAATCCTGGCTAGTAGGAACATATTTGACGTTACTGAAAATTGACTTATTTTCAAAAAGAACAAAACAACGAAATAAATTCAAAGCCTTATCCTCAGAATTTCATTTGCTCTTCATTTAATATCTGTCAGTGATACAACAACAAGATTCTCTTTTGTAAGCCTGAAATAACTGAAGCCATGTTTTTATTTTCACTTCTTTTTAATACTTATCTGAAAGCAACTGGACTGTTATTGGGAAAGTACAGCACATCTTGTAAAAATATCAGCTCAAAAAGATGCATATCCTACTTCATCCTATTGGTTTTCTTGGGAAATACTTCACTGGATGTGCTACCTTTCAAATTCAAGGTGTGAAGTAGAGCATTCTACATTCAACATTTTGACCAAAGATCTGGAAAAGTCCTGCAATAGGCACATTCCTGCTTCTTGTGTCACCATTCTCTCTAGCCTAGAAGCTACCATCCAGGTTTTTCCAACTTTGTGTTATGGCTGACAAAGAAAAAAGGATTTCCAAGGTCAAAGACATGAAACAGCAGTGGTAGCATCAATGCAATAGATATTTAAAGGTATTCAAAGGCATTTAAAATGACTTTGTATCTGGGAGGTGGAGTGCTTCAGCTCATCTTATCCATGTAGCAGCACTGCCACTTTTCCAGGTGCTCTTCTCTCCAAGGACTCCTGGAAAAGCAGCAGATCTGAAGCTTTTAAGAGAAATCCCTTTCTTCAAATCCCAGTAGATGTGTCATTCATTATCAGTATTCAGAACATGTAGAACACTGGATATTCAGCACATCAGTAATATCACATCTGTCACGTCTTTTATACACTTTTGCTATAAAAATTTACTCTGCAGCTTGATTTTTAATTTAAAGTCTTACAAGTATATCTCAGAAATGTAAGCAAAATGTTCACAGGGGCTGTATTGTCTCACTGAGTTTGCAAGCAGGCTAAATACCAGTCCTGAGCAAAATGGATTACCCCATTACTGAATTAGTGCTAGAATACAACACCAATATAAACCCTGCTGTTAGCCTTTCCTTACTGACCAGGCTTAGAAAAATGCTGATGCACTTATTCTTCTATTCTCACCTATCTCTGAAAGGACTAAAAAGTTCAAATGTCAAATAAATTGTTTGAGTGTGTTTTTATAAATACCTTCAGAGTAATACACTATGTTTTAGAAACTGAATTTGAAAAAATATTGAAGGAAGCAAAGATATGAGCTGGAGCTTCTGAAGGAAGCAGATGGAAGCCAGAGGTAGAAGTCCTCCCAAAAGCAGATGGAGAAGCCAGAACATGAAGGGATGAAGAATTGTCAGGGGCTGAAAGAACTCCCATTTGTACAAAGAGTGTTTCATTTTTATCATGTGTGAAAACACAAACTCTCCTTTAGTATCACACATCCCAAAACTAAAGCAGTCTTTGCCAGTGAGAATGACAGAGCTGGCAAAGTGACAGCCATGCAGCTGACACAAACACACTCCTTTGGATGGACAAAGGGCATCTGAGGGCCACTGAAGGCCCTACGCAACACTGAAAGCTGCTTTTAAAGCTAAATATCAGGGGCATTTTTGCTTTGCTTGTGCACCACTGGCAGCATGATATGTTGATTCAAAACACAGCAGCAGCTGACTTGCCAAGCACCAGTCAGTGACAGATCTCCCACAGCCTGAAATGGGCACTGTCAGCAGCACAACACCGGCTCTTCTGTCTGCACTGAGGGATTCTGTCTCTCCTCCAACACCAAGTGTTTCCTCCCTCACAACTGAGCCCCAAAGTCACTGCTTGATGCTCCACATGTGCCTGACAACATTAGGTCACCTCAAACTGCTCTCTGGCCTTGGAGCTGTCATGTTGGTTTATAGATGGGACTACAATCACAGTAGGCAGGCTGCAGAGTCAGAAACCCCCTCTGCTTTCTTCCCTTACCTTCATTGCTTTAGAAACTTTCTCAAAAAACTGCATCTTTACTGAATCTCCAAATAGCTATTGTGCTATGTAAAAAAACCCAAAAAACTGAGAGGAAACATGCAACCAAAACCAGTTTTTCTTGACATAACTAGGAGAAGGAAAGTATATGCAGTGCCACAGCTGTTTTGAAAAATAAACAAACAAACAAAAAAAAAACTAACAAAACAAAACAAACAAAAAACCAACCAAACAAACACTAAAAGCTCCCGTGTTTCCATGCTGAGATCTGGAAAGAATAAAACAGTTCTTCCAAACCATATCACAAACCTGTCCCTAAAATGTCACAGGTCAATGAGACAATTTGGGATGTCCTCGCCCATAATAGCTTCACACTCCTTAGCTGAAGAGACTGTGGTCACCTGTGCAGAAATCAAAGCTGGCAGTGCTGATGGTAACGGTTGGGCTGAAGTGGCAATGAGTACACCTTGGCTTTCCTCTCTGTTCTGATGCTCCTAAATCCCTGACACCCAACTGCAGCCAAGCAGCAGAACAGTACCAGGGCTTCAGATCAGTACGTGTTTGACAGTGATCATTTCCCTTCACAACCACTGGCTTCTGAATCTAATGACTACAGAAATTTGAGAAAGAGAAATGAAGGCTGCTTAGTTCACAGCAATTCATCTCAAGTCTCATTTCTCACAAACCACTTCTGTGATGGTGAACCAAACTAATGAGCTGTGACTCAGTTTCCTCTCTCTCGAATGGAAAACACCAATACTTTTTTGCTTTATAGAAATACATGTAGTGAGTTCTCTGAAAAGTATCAATTAGTATAAGGCTGTTATGCAACCACACAGAAATAATTAGTGACAGCAGACTCTCTTCCCTGGAAGAAAAAGCTCAAGTCAATGTGGCAAATGGCACAGACTCCAATTACTGGAAAACTTTTCAGAGAACAGCTGTGACCCTGAGTTAATACCTATTCTCATTAAACAAGGCCCATGTAACATTAACACACAATGCTACAGGCAAAAAATACTTAACCTTTATCCAGACTGTGGCTTCATTATAGGAAAAGAATCAAGAAATTTAGATCTACCACAAGATGGGTAACTGATTTTCTTCATATTACTTTGACAAAGGCTATGATGAACACCCTCTTGAAAGGGTTCTTACTGCTCTCATCTTCGTAAATGCTTATATCACCTAACTTGGATTTGTTAGAACAAGCTTGCTTACACTTACCAGGAACATGAACTTGGAGATAAGCAAGTAAATGTTTATTTTGGCTCTATGTGTGAATTTCTGGCATATGTTTTATTAAAACTGCTGGCTCTGAAACACCCATACCTAGGTCTGACACACCTCACATTTCCAGCTATTGTCCTACTCACTTCCTAAAATAACAGTTTCACAGGCTGTTCCTCCCCACCTGCCTAGCATCCCTGAATCTGGTATTACCTGCCAAGTTCCCAACAGAACTGAATTCTTACATCAGAGTCTTGTGTATCCGCTCTATGGCATGCTCCAGCTCTTCCTTCTGGTCAGGAACGAAGCGGTACTCGGAGACATAACCTGCAGTGTGCTTGAATGGGTCATAGTCCCCCAGCTCAGCTATAGAACACAAGGAGAAAACAAAGGTCACCTGTGCTTCTTCTCAACCAAAAAAATGCATTATATAATCCACCTACTGGTGCCCAGCTACCCCTCTCTAACCGACGGCCAATTGAATTGGCAGTCAGACAAGAAAAAAGGGAGTGAAAGAAGAGAATACAAAACTATTCACATCAGCACACATAAAAGCAAGAAAAAATTGTCTTCACACATTTTAAAAAATATATAGAAGGTTAGAGCTAGAAAGAGCTAGAAGCCAAAATTTTGACCAAGCCAGCAAAGTTTGAATTCAATGACATTGATTATTTGGCAGCATATGCAAAACAAGTGTAGAAGAAAAGTCTAGTTTTGTAATATCTATGCTCTCATGATATACTGCAATATTACTGGAAGAAAAGTTCCATATTATTGCTGGCACTTTCACATAAACTGGGAATACAAATGGAGGTAAATATCTTGTGAGTCCTAGAGGGAAGGTCTTCTTGTGAAGAATCACAAGCTCTCCTTTTTCAATAAAATATTTGATATCCTGGATATCAAATTCACTTTTAAAATAAAAACAGCATTCAAAAGACTTTTCTTAAAGAAAAGAATATGATGAATAGCCAATGCAATTTTGTTTGACACAACCCAAATTTGTACACATTAGTCATGTCTGTTCGTATGTTGTAACATAATTATAAAACAAATATAATCTTGGCCAGAACTCACATCTACTGATCTTAACTATAATTGCATCTGAGAAACTCTGCAAAAGTTAGCATTTCAATTTTTTATAACCCTGGGTAATATCTGTATACTGGGTTTTTCTGAGAAACATTTCACAGGAGTTTTCTATCCAATGCCCACTGAGCCAAAAACATAGCCAAAAGGAGGCTTCAAGAACCAAGAAGGAAAAGACTCATCTAACTATTGATGTTTCTTTCCCAAATGAAATGCTAGAAATGAAATTGCTAGAAAAAGACAGTGAGCTGCTCAGTAGGGATGTTGAGAAGTCTCACTGGAAAACCTCCATTAAAATGATGTATTCAGTATCTGAGACAGACATTTCTCAGGTGTCTTTGCATATTTGGAACAACTGCAAGCCCTAAATAAAAGGATAAAGTTTTTTATAGAGGTCATGGGAATGCATACCTCCTCGTGCCTGGACTAACTTTAACTCACTGTATGTAACCTTGGCCATGCTTAACTCTTCTCTCTCCCATAATCTTTCTCATTGTTTTCCAACAAAATATTTGATATTAGAATTACAGGAACAGGACACTATACCAAAACAACAGCTCTCACCATCTTACAAAATTACAAATTCAGAAGGGTCTGAATTTATTCCTTTTACTCACTTCTCATAATAAAATGAAGATGTACCATCATTGCATATTTTCCTGCTTCATACTTGCAGTATTTTTTCAGAGAAAGCATGTCTGCTAGTAAAGTGAAATGTGCATTGCAAATAATTTTTCAGAGGATGACATGTCATATTTCTTAGATGGCAAAATAAAACCAAAAATAATTGCACACAAATAAATACTGCCTGAAATTTTAGCTTTTCAGGTGCACATATAATCCACCATGAAATCCTGTATTATGCCCATTCCCATTTCATACAAAGTTATTCTGCCATGTCATTCTAAACTGGATATAAAAGGAGAACTATTTTTTATGTCATATTAAGTGTTATTGAGTGACACTTGTAACACCAATAATACAAATAATCTTTCCTTGATACATATGACTTTAGACAAATCTAAATTTAACACAGAAAAAATTACAGATAGAGGTCCCAGCATGACACTTCACACAACTTTTGCTTGCAATTCTGTTTGAATATAGATCTTGAGCTGTAATGAAAAAAGAATAACAACTCCAGTAGATAGCCAGCTCCTTTCTAATTGATTACTAGTTCTATTAAGCATGCAGCATATAACATCCACCCCTGAAAAGATCTCTACTGATGAATGAATGTAGATAAATACTAAATAAAATTAAAATTCTTCAGGTCAAATCATATCCTCCCGTTAAGTAAACTTGCATTCATATTGATATAATGTAATTTTTGAGATAATGTTGTGTTTCCCAGATTTGAGGCTGCCAATAGCCTTTGAAATCTGAAAATCTTCTGATGAAGGTTTTGTCATACTCTACCTGTAATACAAAGTCATAAAATCTTGAGTACTTGATAAAATATTCCCCAGCAAAGCAAATAATGTTTAGCAGAGTCTTCAGACTGATTTTAAAGTTTCTTCTTTACATTAACTTCCATATTGCTCCTGCATTATCTATTCAGAATGGTCATTTATTTACAGCTCTTGAAGTGAAATCTGAAAACTTCTGTTTGGAAGCGAATGCATAAAGTGGTAATGCTGTCTTCAGTCATCACTTAAAATTAATTACAATGTAGGACTGAAGGGAATAAGCTCTCAGAGGGCCAGGAGAACTTACACTGAATTATGTATGCTCCCAGCTGTGCTGCAGTGTTGATTGGACAAGGTAAACGACCCTGTAGAACATCTTGCTTTACCTGCAAGAAAAACTGATACCTAAAACATAGAGATAAAAAAAAGTTGTTATTTTAACTCAAATTAATATTTCAAAATTATTCCTTTAAATGTGCACATACCATGTACCATAACTATGTGACAGTAAATGCCTGTATTCCCCTCTAAACCACTTCCCCTACTGATACTGAAGAAACAACTAAGATTCATCCAGCGGAAGAACCCAGGAAAGGGAGCACTCCCTATTTTCCAATCCACTTATATTGTGCAGAGGCAACTACTTATGTCCCTAAAATGTCATTTCCCTCTTTTGGCTTTCACAGAGCAGTCAGGAAGTGGTGAAGAAGTATAGGAGTCAGAAAAATGGAACAAGAAATCTATCAAAGGGCAAAAGTTTAACCTCATCACAGGATCAGTGTAAAGGATGCTTGCTTACTCAAATATTTCCTCTCCACATACCAGAGTATTGACTACAATGCAGCAGGGAAGTTTGATGAAGCCCATGAAAAAGATGGATGGGTGTGCCATCAGCAACTAACTAAATCTGTTGTAGCACAGGGTACTACTTGGAATAGTGATAGCAGGGGTGAAAATGTAATTTTCAAAGTCATAACCTGCTTCTACACTTGATAAAGCTGAGACCACTTAGAATGAATCAATATGCCCAAAGCAGATGGAACACACAAGATAACAAGCCATTATATACAGGATCTGCAGTTTTGCAACTTTCCATAATGATTTATTCAAAATCTTTTAAACACTATTTGGATTTTGTTTGGTTTTATTACAAGAGATTTATGCAGTGTTTCACATCATCCTAAGTTAATTTCTTGCGCTGATTTCCTACAAAATGTAAAAATACAATGAAGGTAATTTTTTACCAAAAAAATAAAGGTCTTCCATACAACAATATAGCTTTTCCATTGTCCACTAGTTCAACTTTAACTACATAGAGCCATTCAGCTACTATGCAAATAATTTATTCTGCGTTAGTACAAGTAATTTATGAAAGCACTTTGGAATGCTCTGTAAGTTCAAGGTGCACCTACACTGATTTCAGAAAAGTTTACAAACTGCAGGTTACATGATATCTGACTCAGAAAACTTAAGACCCTATCAAATTTTCTGGGCTTTGTCAGATGAGCCTCTGAATAAAGATACCCATATCTTTCTGATTAATGATTTTCCCCCAGAGTTTGTGCTGTGACAGATGTTTTGGTAGGAATGACCATCCTCTAAAAAATGGTTAAAGTTCTCTACTTCAGAGGAATGGCATTAGCACAGGAATTTCCTGGGAATATGTCGGGGCAACAGAAAGCACAGACACTCAGTGTTTCCTCACTCTAAGCAATACCTCAGTCCTGCTTCTAGTCTATGCTTGCAATCCTACCTAGACAAATCTTCCCTGTATGAATTATGATAATGACCAAGAAGATTTTACATCCTCTGTGGAGTACAGAACATCATCTTTCTGACATGAAGTGCATTTCTGTTGCACACCCATACTTCTCTACAGAGCAGAGCTTGGAAGGAGAGGATGCTAGAAATATATTATCCTTGGAGCAGGTACCTATATTTCTGTATTATCAAAATAAATAAAGTAGCATGGGAACCCTCAAAACACCCCTGCATCCTGCACTGTTAATTGCTTAAGTGATTCCTGTAAGGTGAACAATCTCAATTCCCACTGAAACCACTGAGCTCCTTGGAAAACCAGGCCTTCTGCCTATACCTATAGCTAAAGCAGTCTCATCTTGTGTGCCTATGTTTGTCATGCATATATTAGAGTGCCTAATTGCAAGTTTTCTCTAGCAAACACAGCCAGCAAACATGGCAGTATTAGCTTTTGCCAACAAGCCAGACAGATTCTGCTGCAAAGCAATTACAAATTTGACAGGTTTTCATTATTTGCAAAGAGTAATCATGTAATGGCACAGATCATCAAAATCTAATAACAACAGAGTTAGCTCTCATGTCCATTAAAGTAATAAATACATGCTCCAAAGAAACACATCGATTAGCACAAAGCAGTTAACACATCACTGGAATGACACAGTTAGGCAGAACATTATTATTATTATTATTATTATTATTACTATTATTATTATTAAGAAAAAGAGGGTCTTTAATGCCTCCTAAGTAGAAGGACCTTAAGGAGTCCCTTCCTACCCAAATTATTCTAAGGAGATGGTAATAGGAGGAGGAGGAGGAGGAGGAGGAGTGTTATTTCCCGGAAAAATTAAAAGCCTTCCTTCCAAGATTTTAGAGCCTATGGGAATAAGTGCTCACTAATGTTGAAGGCGGTTGGCTATTCAATGTGTTTCATAGAAGACTGCCAACACCATCATATCATTTTCCTAGGCTGGCCTTCTGTACCACCCAAAGTGCCAGCTCTGCGTGACCATACATTGTCAGGTCATGACCAGAGGCTTCCTAATGACACTGAAAACTTTCTTGACTGGATTTGCACACTACTCAGCAGTGTAGATCACTGGCTGGCCTTATCACAGGGCAAAGGAAGAAATTTAGCCCCCCGTCTCCATCCTGCCTGCTGGGAGGCAATCACAACAGATTCCGTGGCCAAAGTTCCCTTTCCCAGCGACACCTTTCTTTTCCTGTGAGGAGGATTTAAAGCTCTTCTGGGAAAGTACAAGAAAATGGTAACAAATTTCCACAGTACAGGAGCATGCCATCACTGCCAGGTTATGTTCTTTTCCCTGCCAAGTCACAGCATTTTTTATTTTTACCAGGCCAGCCTGGGTCTTGTTAAGTTGGAGACTTCCATTCCTGTTGTGCCAGTTGGAAACAAAAGAATTTTCTCACTCTGGAGTAAGAAAAATATTCTGCCTGTGCTGCAACCTTTGATTTAGGAAATTAAAAACCTTGCATGCATTCTAATGAATCCTCATGTCCCACATTCTTAAGACATCAAAAGACGTATTTGTTAATGCAAGCTAGCACACTAATTTTGTCCGCCTACCTACCCAAATTCTCAAATTTCCTTTTGAACCTAAAGTTAATTGTCCGAGACATTTAATAAATAAAACAGACAGATACCCCCGAAGCTGTGAGAGAGTTCAGATAACCATGTGTGTGTGTCTTTGTGTGCAAGCATGTGTATGTGTTACTGCGTGCAGCCTCATACCTTGCAGAGGACAAGCTTAGGTAAAAGAATCAGAGGCATGCAACTCTTCAATTTCCTTCACATATTTTTAGTAAGTCCAAAAGAAATCCCCTTGAAAACAGTTCTGGAATATGGCCAATAAAGAAGAAAATTCCCTGTATCTATATCTGATATCCAAGTAAACTCTAAACTTGGTTGTAGCACAGTATAAATGCAGCTGTAACAATGCATTACTGAAAATATGGGGAAAAAAAACCCACTATCAAAAAGGCACATCAAGGCCCTTTGATTTTTGATGCGCCAGAGACCATATTTTCTTCTTGGGCTTCCTAACAGTCATCACTATCAACCACTGTGAAGTTACTCACAATTTTCTTACTAGACACCAATGTTCAAGCATTCAGATGTTCAAGAAAAAAAAACCAACCCAGGCACACCACAACAATATGCACCTGCTTGAAATGTATTCCTAGCCTGAGATCAACAAACTATTTTTTATTAAATACTGTACCTTGTTATTTCTTCCTTAAGTTTACATGGATCTTCTGCATAAAATTTAATGCCAAAATACAGAGTGTATGGTGGTCCAGCTGCAGGGAAAAAAAATTGGTGTAAAAGTGAGTGGTCATGAATTGCTAATTGGTACTAATTGTTACTAGTTGATGACAAAACAGCTACTAAGAAGCCTATCTTAACATTTTATTAAACTTGAAATTTTCAGAAAAAATGTTACATTCACACAGCAAATGGTTATGGTATGCTAAGCTGATAGAGGCATCACAGCCACTATAAAATTATACTAATTAATGATACACCACTTATTAGCCTAAAACAAAATTTAAGCACACAGCAGTCCTTGGACAATAATTACACTGTTAAATGATGCCATGTGCAATACACATGTGAAATTTTGATACAGCAAAGAACTGCAATAACAAACTTGTTAAGAACTGTAAATCTGTTGTGACTAGAATATTGCGCCAACTGTGTAGATGGAACATTGTTACTCCATCTTTGTCCTTTAAGTTCAAATTAAATACATACTGTTTATCAATTCTTTATGTTCAGCGAGGGTCTTTGCAGGATCCAGCCAGTACTGTGAGACAGACAATTTATGGAAATTAGTTACTTAACTTTGAAAATTAACACAGAACAATTGGTTATTCATACCACTTAACCTTTTCTTCTCCTTCCCTCATACTGAGCTGACAGGAGGATCTGCACTCTCAGCCCTGGAAGAGAGAATGCTTCTGCTTGTGCTAGTAAAAATAAGTATCAGCTGGCATGAGAAAATACGTTTTTCTGTGAGTGCCACAGGTCTTGAGATCAGCACAGGTGAGATTAAATGCTTCAGTATGGTGGAGAAGAGACAAGACTCTCATCTGCCTTTTCATTTCTCCAGTGAGTACTTAACTCTGGCCATGGCATAAACCCATGCTTAAAATGACCGTGCAGCTATTTATTATTTCAAAGGCTGCCAAAATTTTCCTGAAGAATCCAAGAGGTGGGGGGAGGAGCGGGAGATTTCTAACATTTTATTTGCAAGCCAAAGATGAATGGAATTTCATGGATAATGCAAAGGCATTTTTCAAGCCAAAGTCAAACAGTAAAGATGAGATCATTTAGAGATCCAAGAACCCCAACACCAGGGCCCTGAGAGCGCACCTAGGCACACCTACACAGTAATGTGTGTTAGATACTTGTTAAATGCTTGTACAGATGGATAAACAGTGTCAGCTATAGTTACGCCACCAAGCTGATAAACTGAAGTGCCAAGAGAAATGGAACAAAAAACCAGTGTCTCATTAATCCAGTGCACTTGCACAGCAGTTGCTGACAACAAACCCTGGAGTGGTGCATGCCAAGGCAGCTCTGATGCGCTGCCTTTGCCCTTTTCATCTCCTGGCAGCCCCTGTGACACTCCCCAGTGCTCTCCCACCTGCACCCCATGCACGGGCTTGCAAACAGCTCACCACTGCTGCGGAGATCTGGAGGACCCAGCACCTCCTCACCCAGCTGCAAGGGATCAACGCTGCAAATCCATAAGAAGTATTTAACATTTACAGAATGTGTGGAAAGTGGTAAAAAAATATACTAGTTTTGTAATAGTCCTAACCAATGCAACTATCCATTGACTAAAGGGACTACTTTACTAATTGTTCTTTACAAACACACATAGTATTACTTTAATAATTTTTTATTTACTAAGACTGATTAAAAAGGTACAATGTTATTAAAGAAAATAACTCCCTTTTAAGTTTTAGGTAGAAACTAAATTAAAAATGTTTTAAAGTACAGCATAAATAATACATGGACTCTTTTGACCTTTGTGCTTTTATAAATCTGGCTCCCATACAAGCCAGTTATGTAAGCAGCATGCATCCAAGAACTTTACCACAAATCTGGAAACTTAATTTTTTGTATCTGCACAGGGTTAAGCTTGGGTCAAATTCCATGAACCTGCTTGAAACAAAATATTAACTAGGTAGAAATGTTTGCTGTAGTATCAATCAATGAAGTGTCTGGGCAGAAAGATCTATCAACTTCAAACTAAATATTGGACTGTCTTAATTAGATTCTCACAATCAAGATGTTAGTTTTTGATCACATTTACAACAGGAAGAAACAAAATTTTGGAGAGAAAATGTGTCATTTTTCAATTATAATCTGAAATTATCGAGACTTCCCACAGCCTAAGACAACACTAAGAATTGGAATTGCTGTATCAGATTTTTCCTGCAAATGTTCAGTGCAAAAAACCTCAATCTGCTGAGTTCAGGATGTGCCTATCATGTAAGAAATGTAAAAATTTTCAGGTAATTCTTACATGTAAATGTGTATTTAATGCTACTATCTTTGTTTTTAGAATCTGAAGTTATATAGATTATAGTTATTATGATATCATCAGTGAACTGATCCTGCTGCACTCTAAAAGTTTATTCTTACTACCTGTAACTCACCTGACCATCAGCTTAGTGTCTATTGTTTTAATCCAATAATATTCTTCTAAAATTTCTTGTTTCTACTCAACATTATCAGTCTCCATTTTCTTTCCACTGGTTATCTCATCTAATTTAACACACACAAATTCCCTTTCCTCCTAGATAATTTAGTATATCATGCTTGGGGATGAGTGTAAAAATCCATTTTAAAAAATTCCATTCAACAAAGCACAAGCTAAGTACAATTTGACTTTTTTTCTAAGATCTTGAAGATAAAATATGCTCTACACTGTATGGTATTAATTCCCTTTATTGCCATGGATTACCTCCTACCTGCTGTATCCTTAGGGTTGTGTGCTCAAACAGAGCTTCCTTCTAGCAGGGCAGAAAAACACACCTACATTGCAGGGTGGGGGAATGGTGCAATATGAATAAATATAATGATTCGTCTTTCTGTATTTGTATTTCTCCTCTTAGAGCCCTGGGAGGGCATCAGTATGTGGTACATTCTGATTATAGTAGCTCAGATTAGCACTATCAGGTCAAAAAATAAGAATATTACTGTTGTAAATATTCTTATTGCTGTACTATTTTTTGTATACAGCATGATTCTTTTGGCATTTCACAAATGGGAACACCTTTGGGCTTCAGGAGGACCCTTTCCCTCATCAAATTCTGCTCAGGTTTTCCTGACATATCATGTATTATATTGCTATCCCTGCCTTTTGTGTGCCTTAATAAAATACTGGACTCTTCCAGACTACTAACTAGCTTGGCTATCCTACACACCCCTGGCAAAGCCATAAAGGCAGTAGTAAAGCACCTGGGAGCTGCAGCACAGCAGGAAGCAGCAGCGGGAGTGGCAGGATAGCCCTTCCAGCACCAGTTCACCCAGCCCCTGGAGAAGTACACCCCTGGGCCACTGTTTTCCCCAAATACTAAAGCAATGAGAGACTGTAGTGGGAAGAGTGTGGCCAGCAAGTTGAAGGAGGTGATCCTGCTTCTCTCCTCAGCCCTAGTGAGGCACATCTGGAAAACTTTGTCCAGTTCTGGGCTCTCTAGTGCAAGAGAGATAAGAAGCTAATGGATAGGGTCCAGTGAAGGGTCACAGAGATGGTGAGGGCTTTGGAGCATGTCTTTTATGAGGAGAGGTGGGATCTGGGCCTATTTAGTCTGGAGAAGAGAAGACTGTGAGGGGGGTCTCACTAATGCAAATAAATATCTCCAAGGCAGGTACCAGGAGGAAGGTACCAGACTCTTTAATAGTGCAAAGTGACAGGATGAGGAGCAATGGCATAAACTAAAACACAGGAATTTCCACCTCAATACAAGGAAGAACTTCCTTCCATTGAGGGTGGCAGAGCACTGGAAGAGCTGCCGAGGGAGGGTGTGGAGTCTCCCCCTCTGGAGACATCCTAAAACCCCCTGGGTGTGCTCCTGTGTCACCTGCTCCAGTTGACTCTTCTTTGTCAGGGGGTTGGATTGGGTGATCTCCAGAGTTCTCTTCCAAACTAATGATTCTGTGACTCTGGACAGTTTCCTAAGCCACCCTCAGCTTCTGCGACATATATTCCAGTGATTTGTGTCTCACTGAAAATAGTAGATGGGGCACAGAGTCCTGGGGGATGAGGCAGAAGACACAAATGCCCTCTCCAGGAAGACCCAGCTCACTATCCACATTGAGAGCCATGAGGACAGTATCTGGTGTCAACTTACACTAATTTGGGTGCCAGCACTCTCTGTAGTAATGCAAAAGGCTCAGGTGAAGGTTAGATGATGAAGCACAGTTAGAGATCCTCTGGCACTCAAAGAAAATTGGTCTTTTTTAAAAGAATTTGCAGCACAAAGAAAGGTACTCAAATACCACATGAGAAGAAGCACCACATATAGCTTGTCAACAGAGGCACTATTAGGAAACACTACTGACAAGACACGGCATTAGCTGAACCCATCTGTTAACTGGGCTCTAGTTTTATATAAAGGAATTTTTAATTCATTATTAAATATTGTATTTTAACCAATTATTAGAAGATACATTTTGTTGTTCCTTTGGAGACCTGTCTTGTTCAGAGCTCTAAGCGATATAGATAATGCTCTTCTGACATCAACTTGTAATCTTCCAAAGCTTGATTTTTCCATTTGAATACTGTCCTTTTACTGAGAGTTTGGAATGTCAGTAAAGTGAAATGTGTGTAATGTGTGACCAAATTACTACCCTAGAGACAGGGTCATCCAATTTATGTTTTATCCTACTGTTCGTGCCCCTGCAAGTGCCACCCAGTTCTGTCAATCTCTTTGCTGCATGCAGCTGTTCTCACAGGCCAATAAGTTTGTTGTTGGCTGTTCAAGAAGAGACCATTTTAATGCTACACATTCATACACACTATGTAGCACAGTGAAACCTTGTTCACTCATTAAAGCCCTACTGGTAGTACTAAAATAATTATGATACCACCCACATAAGAGGTAGCTCACCAACACAGCACTTAAAAGACCACCTGGAAGTGCTGAGGCATGCAAGAGTAATGGGGAAAACAACCAAACAATTCCTTTCAAATCCTTAATAAGAAAAATGCTTATTTTGTGACGGATTTGTGTTCTTTAAAATACATAGCTTTGTCTATGCTCCTTTGTTCATCATTCAGTTAAATCTATAGTGTGACAAAAAAACCTGACAGTACAAATAATAAAACTTTCCTTACCACAAGCAATGCATTAATAGGAGCCCAACCCCCAAACACTTTTCTCCCTCTGAGACTAACTCAGAACCATGGTTTTAAAACTAATTAGCAAGGTAACCTTTTTCCTCTTCCCTTAGGAAATCTACTCTGGTCGATCCAAAAAATACCCAATCCAAAATGCAGACCTAGGCTTCTTGCCAGTCATTACTGAACTAATTCCCACAACAGCCCAGAGAGTTTTAGCCACAGTCAGCATGCAACTAAATATATGTTTACAGCTAAAGCACAAGGTGCTGGTTGTTGTGTGAACTTTCCATTATACTGCCCATTCTTAAGAGCTTACAAGAGTTCACTAAAAATAGCAAGCTAACAGCGTAAAACCACACATCATAAAATACATAAAACTACACACAGTAGCACTGTCTGGCTCATTCATGAACTTTTCAGATGAAGGAGCATCAGCTTTTCGTTATCCTTACACAGACAAACAACACAAACAGGCCTTTTCACAATGGTTTGTTACACGACAGCCCAGGTGCAAGGGCAGCAGCACACACTTGGCAGTCCCTGTGGCAGCATCTCCATGGATGGGCAGGAGATGACTTATGACTCCATAACCCTGCACACAGCTCAGGTCCTGCATCCACATGACAAGGCCAGTGTTGGTGTAAGAGCAGGCAAATGACAGAAGTGGGATAAACACCTTCCTAATCCATGGGAAAATCAAGAATCAGTGTCTTCCTGACATTGGGCTGACCAGAGGATAAAGCCTAAAGCTAACATTAAATTTACACCACTGGAGCACCACATGAGAGAAAAAGTAGAACAAAAGGATGTGCCCTAAAATGTGCTTTTGTGTGTCCCTTTCACAATAGAGGTGCAATCCCTTTTTATATTCATATTTTCATACACACCACTGAATATACCCTGTGTATGCTTCTGGAAATATTCCCAGGAACAGCCTGGGAAATAAAATTTCTATTTTATTTACAACCACAGCTACAATGAAAACACTTCTGCGACCAAAAATACCTATCTGCTCCTCATTCACACCTCAAATTCCTCAGGAAATCAAAAGCACTAGTTTTAACTGTCTACCGTTAACTCACAGCTGAATCTGGCTTTCATCTTCATGGAATAAAATGATTAGAAGCTCATCAAGGAACTGAATACATTTCTGGACAATGGCACAGAAGTTAAATTACAGGGAGTGGGGCAGTCTGTAGCTCTCAGTAGCAATCAGTAACCTGCTTAATACTGTTCTAAATTCAGTCTTTACATTATCAACTTCTGGTTAACAGAAGAAATCAGCAAATATTTAGCCAATTCAATAAGTTATTGCTATATATAGATGAAACAGGGTCTTGTGCAGTGCTATCATCACAAAACACTGTAAAATTACATTCAAAACTGTAATGGCTGGACCTAATTTAACCACAGGCCAGGCACTACTCCCTTCATAATTTTAACGTTGTATGAAGACCATCCTGTGAATACAGCACTGGTTCCTCTTGCTGAGCACCCCCTGCTCCTCACCTCTGCCTGCAGCAGTCCAGCACAAGCCTTTGGTGGGGCAGACAGCACTGCTCCAAAACACTACCTGCTTTGGCTGAAACATCTCAGCCTGGCTGAAACATCTCCTTGTATGTCTAAAATGGTAATTTCCTAGTGGAAAAAGCCTCAGATGTGGGGTGAGTCCCTTTCAAGGAGGCCCTAGAGAATATGGGCTTAGGGACACAGAGATGGTTCAGGCAGAATGAAAAGGGCATTGCCCCACGCACCCTGAAACAGGTGTTTGGCCAGTGTTGCAGCAAGTGAAGCAGGCCTGATGCACTCAGGGACACTGCTTCCCAGGCACTGCAGGGCCAAGTGAGGCTGAGCAGAACTGAGCACCAGGCACAGGCTTCAGGGCACAGTATTAAAGAGAAAAAAATATCAATCCTATGTCCATATAATAACTTTTTACTATTTGTACTTTCTTAATTTAGTTTTCAACAACATTTAGCATTTTATTTCATTTCTATCTAAGATGTTAATGGCTATTCCAAGACTTTATTCGAAATAAACAAAAGAAATTATTACTGGAAACCTGAGCCAGGAAACAGTGAAAGTTACGGGAAGTATAACAATCGAATGCTTTAGAGGCAAACAGGACAACAGGGTGAATTTTATACATGGCAAATCCAATCTGCTGTGTCTTTTACTCACCGTTTGATGACTTCGGTCACAGTAGCGCAGCCCAAAGTAATCTATTTCCACCAGGTTTAAGTGACGAAATACGTAGCCCAGGACAACCGACCCTTTCGTTGACTTCTGTGGGAAAGAATTTACAGAGCCTATTCACAAAGATGCTCTGCCTTTGTCAGCTATGTGCAGTGGCATTCATGCATTCAATTAACTTTGTCTAAAAAAAAAAAAAAGAGGCAGTTCCCAGTGCCTTTAACAAAAATTTCAGCAGTACAGTAGAAAATATTTTGCATGTTTGAAAACTAACACTGTAAAATACTATTAGGAAGCTGGCAAGGTAGTTGTTACACAATACCAACAGAAAAACAAACAAACAAACAAAAACCCCACAGTTCTAGTGAACACAGCATTTTCCAAATCCCACTCACCCTTCCAGTACAGACCTGTCACTCAAACTCTGACAATGGAGAACAGGAGGCAAAACTGCCCTTAAGACCTAAATTATGCATCATTAACTTCTCTTTTACTAATCTTTGTAAAGAAGGTTAATTTTATTTGTTTTCTTGTACAATATTTTTGGTAGTAGAAGGGAGAACAGTCCAACACCCTGAATTGAAATAATCCCACTCTTTTCTTAAATAGCACTTCATTAAGTGTCTACGACAGTATTTGCAAAAAATGTTGGGGACAATATGTTCTATAAAAAGCTCACTTCCACCTGAATGCTGCTTATTTGTTGGTTCGCCTGACAGCCAACAAAAAACAGATGAGGATGATGGAGAATAATTACACAGAATGATCCCCTCTCAGAATCAATTAGAGCCTTTGATGATTACAGTCCTAAATTCCACCAGAAAATATGGACATGACTCATAATAGGTTTTGCTTAGCTGCTTCATATTTTATAAACTACTAGACTGTAGTAAAATCATCACAGAAAAAAGAAACAGAAAGTGGAAGCTGTGAGATTTTGTTTGTGCAATTTCATTTTCTAGCTTATGAACAGATAATTTCAAAATTAAAATGGCAAATAATACTGATTAAAAAATTCTTTAACTTAGTTCTGCTGGTGAAGTATCAGTCACATCACAACAGTGAAGGTCTGGGATTTTTTCAGCAGTGCATTTGGTCAGGATTCATATCTAATCCCATGCACAGAGACAATACAACAATTTCAGGTGGCCACTCACACACTAAGCAAGCCATGGCAAGCTAAATATCTCTGGTAGATATCCATGCTATTCACCAGATTTACTATATATTTGCTTAAATTAGGAGATGTACTTTAAAGCTTCTCTTTGTTTAACTCCATCAGACTGGTTGTTTACATCAGGCAACTGCAATTACATATTCCCTCAGCGTATACAGTGAGCCTTAATGATCAGCCACAAAACAGAGGGCAGTCTGGGGGGAAACATGATTAAGGTAAGCAGAATTTTACTACATCTCAATTTATCAAGCTGGATAAAGCAGAGCAATCCAGTGATTTTATCATCAGTTTCATTAACAAGAAGCTGAAGCCAGGTTGTGAGAATAAGGCAAGTCAAGCTGTCGAGTGACTATCAGGAGCACTGCAGAAAAAAGTTAAAAGTTGGAACATAACAAAACACACCTTAAAAATACTAAAAATACAGGTTTGATTACTAGACGGTAGGGATTTAAGACTGAAGTAGTAATTGTCCATGCTCATTTTATTTTTAAATTAGTTGTCATTCAAAAAAAGCAGAGGAGATATCCCACTCAAAAGGACATCCTTATCTCATCATTTGTTTATTGGACTTGATGATCCTGGTGAGCTCCTTCCAGTTGGCATGTTCTATGATTCTGCGTCATATAAGGCAAATTACCTTCAGCATTGTTAACTATTTCCATCATCATTTAAACAGTATAGCAAGGTCTTGGGAACCTAGGGCTGGATAGGCATCTTTAGAAACAGACAAAAGAAAGGTTCAAAATAAGCAAGCAGCCCTGACTCCCAAATGATCCATGCAGATAAATGATGGCAACACTTCTATCTGGGCACTAAACATTCAGAGAACATTTCAGACTAAAGGATCTCCAACATCAGCCACCCAGAGTCGATAGTTTTTGACACAGTTAACCACAGTGAGGTGAGTAAACCCTTGCAGAAGGTAAAAAAAGGGGTGCCTACATGGCTCACAGGACACATTGAGTGGTTCCCACCCAAACCTTGCTCAGCTTCTGTGACTGTGTGAAGTTCAAATCTGTTTTCTTTCAATGAGCTTTCCACTCCTTGTCTGACCAGTACCATTATTTACATCGGTTCGTTTTATTAACAGCACTGAGAAACATTGAGCCACCAAGATGAAGTTGTCAATTTCAATAATGTAAGTATTATTTTACTTACAATAACAGTACACAATCCTGGGAATAATCAAAGACGCTTAAGTCATACAGGAGTTCAACTTACATGACTCTGCACCAGTTTAGAATGCAATTACCCTTCGTGGACGGAAGTCTTCTGCTTCATTCAGTTGAGGAATGCACAAGGAGTTTTTGGGACAGCTTTCCTTCTATGGACCTTAAAGCTGGTGAGTTATCCCCAAGAAAGATGCATATACCTGACCTGGTTAAAATTAAAGCCTCCTTTCTTTCCTTTCAGAGATAAAAGGCTTTTAAACTGTTTTTTACTTATACTGCTAGGCAGATAGAAAACATAAAGGCCTGTTAATTTATTCTCTTTTGACACAGCTCAGTTAACACTTCAATAATTGCAGGTCCTGCAGAAACAGGTGGTCTGACTGAGGAAAGGCTGAGCAAACCCATCCAGCTTACAATGGCTGGGAGCTCTCCACCTCTACAGCAGCAAGGTGCTCAGTGCTTTGGTTACCCTCAGCCAAAACAGACTGCATGTTGTAGTCTCCACAGCCCTCTCTGCCAATCCCTTTCACATCCTTCAGCACAGCCTGCTGAACACAAAGAAGTGCTTTTCAAGGGAACAGCCAGGATGAGCCAGGACCTATTCTCACACCCTTCAAACCTCACCTTCCTTAACCTCGTATTTTCCCAGCACCGGGGAGCAAACACTGACCCTTGCTGAAACCACTGCATACTCATTTTCAGTTTAAGTTCTCAGTTTTAGCCGCATGATTTCAGGGTTTCATGCAAGCAATTTGCATCTTCAAGTCAAATCAAGAAAGAAGTTTTGCTGATGAATCCCTTAATAACTGCTTCTCAGTCCTGAAACACATTTTTACAGCATTTGCTCATAGTTTTGCAAAGTAAGAGAAACTATCTTATTTCCCCTGATAAAATTACAGCAAAATTCAGCAAAGCTGGAAACCAAAACTATCAAAGACATTAACAGGATTACATTCACATCATGTGGCATTGCAAAAATTATATAATCTGCCTTGCATTAAGCTCAGACTTGCAAAAGGTTTGTATTCTTAGGGGTAAACCCAAGTACATTTGAAAATACCATCAGCAATGCTTTCAAGAGAGAACAAAGAATTGTTTCAATGAGTCATAACATCTTGCTTTACATGTTAGCACTGTGGCTTCATAAACCAGAAAGGCAGGTTTATACTGGCTAAAGGACAGCCAGAACATTCAGGAGGAGGCTGATTTAGCTGTTGTTTTCTTAATCAAATTGAAATTATTCTTTTAAAAGCAGTACATAGGGTTCTGTGTTTTAACATATTCATATTACTCTATATTTAGACATCAGAAATTCTTCTATTTCACACAACTCACTGCTTTTTAGCTCCAGTGAGGTTTTTCTTGTTGGGTAGTTTTAAATTTTCTCTCTTGTGTTGTACAGAGCAGTGGAGGCCACATCAGAACTATTACTGACACAAACTGAATTTAAAGAAAAAATCTCCGCCCCATTAGGATGCTAGTCCCTCTGTTGAAAAGTGCTATAGGTAGTGAAGCTTCTTGCTATTGTCTCTTTTAGATCAAGCAAACATCACAGTGCTTTTCTCCCAAAATAATTCAATCCACACACTCTACATCTTACAACCCAAAAAAAAAAAAAAAAAAAGCTAAGGAAGATGCAGGATTCATGAGCCTTTGCTCAGAAAAAGGGCTTAGAACTTAGGTTGAACATAACCTTTGCCTTTTGAGATGCCCATTAGAGTCCCCCCTGATGCAGCATGCTTGGGAGACCAAATTGTGGTATTTGCCCTAGGTAAAGGTTACTAACGAGAAATTAAAATTATGCACAAAGGCAGCACACAATCTGCTGCCTTCTGAGAGTGAGCAGACACTGAGCAGAAATAGGTGTCTCCAAACAGCATTTTCTCACTTTTCTCTTTAGCCTATTCTTCCTCCTTACCTCAAGCTCTGAGAAGACTAGACACCACTGCAATTTTTCATCACCTTCCCCTGACAAAAGCAGCAAGGCATGAAGCTCTGAAATCAAAGTTCTTGGTTTTTAACAACGAAGACTGAGGACCCCTTTTTCCCACGGCAGTATGCCGACCAGGCCTCAATTTGCATACCATGTGTTTAAGCCCAGAAAAGTCTTTAAATTAAAAATGCTAAACATTTACAAATATTCACCCAGACGAAACAGCTTAACCTTAATTTCCAGAATGCATGTCCAAACAGAGAAGAATTTACATTAGTGCTATTTTATATGTGCAAGGCATTCCCCAGCACAATCATATAACAGAAGTAAATACTTTGAGGAACTGAGAATTTAACGAATACAAATGAAACACCACAGGCTGTCCTAAGTATACATCATTAAAATGAACCATCCAAAAAGCATTAATCCATCCCTGCCTCTCTGCTTGTATTTCACTGGCAGCAGACATGCCAACATATTTTCAGAGGTTTTTGTGTCAGAACTCCTTGCAGTCAGAACTCTGCAGAGGCAGACCTCCCTATCACTGTTGCCAAGAACTTGACACGGTGTCTGACCTGCCTGGATGTTACAGATAACTTAGAATTCTAAGTGCTGTATATTAAGATACCTGTAAATCAGTTTAGCTTTCACTAGTGGTCAATCCATTGCATTCCAGTCAGAAAACACTATTCTAGAAAAAATGTCTGAAGATGCACCATATTTTTTGGTTTTGCAATTATTGTATCTATCACAAATTCATCTGCTCAGAGGCAACCTCCTTGTGAGAGGGATACATTCCTAGGAGCATGGG